TCTGCCCTATGAGGAGAGGCTGAGGGAGCTGGGCCTGTTCAGCACGGAGAAGAGAAGGCTGAGAGAGGATCTAATCAGTGTATATAAGTACCCCAAGGGAGGCAGTGAGGAGGATGGTGCTGGCCTCTTTTCAGTGGTGGCCACTGACCAAACTAGAGGTAATGGCCACAAACTGAAGCACCAAAAGCCACAGGAACTTAAGGAAAAATTTCTTAACAGTGAGGGTGACAGAGCACTGGAACAGGCTGCCCAGAGAGGTTGTGGAGGCTCCTTCTCTGGAGATCTTCCAAACCCACTTGGACGCAGTCCTGTATCACGTGCTCTAGGTGACCCTGTGTGTGCAGGAGGGTTGGACTAGATGACCTCCAGAGGCTCCTTTCAAACTTAAGCATTCTATGATTCTATTCTATGCTTCTATGACTTTCCTTAAATTACAGATTAGAGAACAAGGGGTCTACTACATGACAAATGGTAAGTCCAAAACTAGAGAATATGCAAAAGAAATCTGCAAAGATTTTAGTCCATTTCCTTGTTTGAGACAAAAACTGAAGTTCCAGTCTTGATGCTATTCACACAGATGTTTAACTTCTCCATGTTTGAGCCAACCCAGCTGGTCTGGAGCTGCTGGGAGCTGCATAATAAATCCAGGCAAATTTAAGACAAATTCCAGCAAGCTGTGGTGAAGACACACTTACTCCTTCTGTGTTTTTTAATATGCAGCTACAACCAAATGAAGGCAAGGATAGAATTATAGGTTTATTTTGCATAATAAGCTTGTCTTTTTGTAATTCACAGCTTCTGAATGCTGTAAAATGTAAATATGTTAAGTCTCTGTCTACCCATACATATTTCCCTTGACAGAAATGACAAACAATTGTGTTTATACTGTTTGATGGGTGCTGTTCATCTTCTGAACATTGTCAACTGTTTTATCTCTTTAAAATATGCCATGTTCCCACTTACAAATGTACTGTAAAGAGATCACATGCTCTTTGAAGGAGCCTCTAGACTTTATGAATAGTATTCAGACTTGCAGCTTATGTAAACTGCTTACAGATTTATTAATAAGGAAAATAAAAAATATAGATAATAGTTCTCAATATTCTGACAGATACACACAGACATATATACAAGCAGTTTTGCATATATAATATACACGTGTATGCTTGAATCTATGCATTACCTAGGCAACTAAATAAATATAAAAATACTTTAACTGTTGAGTGTTTTTTCAGAGCTCATTGAAATGCTTTGGCTGTTTGCTGCTGCTGCTGCCGTCCATGCTGCCTAGACATATTTGAGGCCACATGATATTCCCACTATACCTACATTAATCGAGGAGGGCTCTGTGGATGCTCATTTACCCATGCCATACAAGAACTACCCAGAGATTCCATGAGTTTTAACAGTATGCAAACGAGAAGAGAATTTCACCCATTCCTCAGTATTAATTTCTCTTTTTGAGAGAAGAGCTTTCTTGGGGTTTCATGACAAAGCAGTTCTATGCTAGCAGTTACCTTGCAAATCCAGGACAAGGAGCTCCCCACGGGTATACACATAGGTCCAATGGGAGAAGGCCAGCATCACCTCTTCCAGCAAGCTGCTAGGAGTGATCTCATCTCCGTTGTTGTTGTTGTATTTCCGAAACTCACCAGTCATGTACTTCTCGATAGTCAGCCACTGGTTGGCTGAGTGGCAGTAGATGAGGAAAACTTCCAGGAACCTGTGAATATAAGTGCTGTCTGTCAAGAGCTAGCACAATAATGAATGTCCTCACAGTCAAAGCACAGCCTGATGCAAAACAAATATATCAATAAGGAGATCATGTCTTCCTTGGATGGAGCATTTTCAACTGCAGGGTAACAAAGAGTTGTTATCAAAAAGACCTTTCAAATTTGATAACACTCAGAACAAAACACTTCCTCAGAAGGTACAGTTTATGGACAAACAAACATAAACTGATTTACTCCAGCCAACTTATAAACTGACTATAAGAATTCTCCTACGTTAATTGAATAAAAACAATTCTTGCTCAAGGGTTAAGGAAGAGTATCACCAAGAAGTTTAATTTACCATCAGATTTACCTATAAAGACAAAGTTCAGAGCTACTTACCTTCCTCATAAAAGGTTGATAGTATTTGGATAAATGGAAGCATTTATATAGAATATTCACTATTCATGGTAATTCATTCAAACCATATATACGAAATTGTAACTGTGCAAAACTCAGTGGAATCACATGAAAGGTCATGTGAAAGAGCAATCAGTGCCTAAATTCTCTGTCTCCCTTTTTTCCATATTCTGCATAGGAAAAGAATCAAACTTCTTTCTGTCATGCTATAATGCGAAAATCAGCTGTGCTCTTTCCTTGGAAAATACAGCTACCATTCAAATGCGAGAAGAGAAGAAGCATGATTCTTGGAAATGAATCCCTCAGAAACATCCATTAAAAGATACAGAATCAAATAATCACAGGATTGTTATGGTTAGAAAAGACCTTCAATATCCTCGAATACAGCCGCAAACCCATCACCCCTATGTCTGCTAAATCATGTTCCTAAGTGCCTCATCTACATGTTTCTTGAACACTACCAGGGATGGGAACTTCGCCACTTCCCTGGGCAGCCTGTCCCAAGGCTTCATCACTCCTTTCCATGTAGAAATTCTTCCTAACATCTAACCTGAACCTCTCCTGGTGCAACTTTAGGCCATTTCCTCTTGTCCTATGGGTAGTTATTCCAGAGAAAAGATCAATCCCTGCCTCACTGCAGCCTCCTTTCAGGTAGTTGTAGAGGGCACTAAGGTCTCCCCTGAGGCTCCTCTTCTCCAGAGTAAATAACTGCAGCTCCCTCAGCTGCTCCTCATAAGGTCAGAGCTCCAGCCCCTTCAGCAGCTTTGTTGCCCTTCTCTGGACACACTCCAGCACCATCATGTCCTTCTTGTAGAGAGGGGCCCAAAGCTGAACACAGTATTCAAGGTGCAGTCTCACCAGCGTCGAGTACAGGGAGATGATCCCTTCCCTGCTCCTGCTGGCTGTGCTGTTCCGGGTAAAAGCCAGGAGGCCGTTGGCCTTCTTGGCCACCTGGGCACACTGCCACCTCATGTTCAGCCAGCTGTCAACCAGCACTCCCAGGTCCTTTTCTGCCGCGCAGCTTTCCAGCCACTCTGCCCCAAGCCTTCAGTGCTGCATGGGATTGTTGTGACCCAAGTGCAGGACCTGTCACTTGGCTTTATTGAACCTCATAAAGTTGGCCTCAACCCATCGATCCAGCCTGTGCAGATCCCTCTCTGAAGCCATCCTACCCTCAAGCAGATCAGCTTGTCCTTCCACCTTGGTGTCATGTGCAAATTTGCTGAGGGTGCACTCAACCCCTCATCCAGATTATTGATAAACCAAAACGCACCTTAAGCACATTTCAGTGCTGAGATGTGCATCAGGTATTGACCAGCCAACCACTTGCTACCAAAGTAAATGCATACCAGTTCAGTTCACCTTGCTTTTTCCCAAATAGTTACTTGAATTTGAGTCTCTTTCTTCACTATTTTGCTTGCAAATTCATGACAATTTAAGACAAGGGAAAATATGTTATGCAGGTGGGATTGTGCCATTTCAGTAGAGCAGCTTTAAAGAGAGGCAATTATGAGACAGCTGATGGGAAAACAAGAGAAAAAAATGTAACTAGAAAGAAAAGTCTCTACTGATACATTTAAGAAATACATGTTCTAGCACTTTTTAAGTCAGATCTCTTTATCTCCCTTAAAGATGTAACTAAGCTCTTGTAATGTATAAAGCCATTTTACTCCAATTTACTCCAAACTTTAAAGTCTTTTATGAGCTGAAGGCCCAATGTTTCTTCTTATGGTCTATAAAGTCCCTTGTAAAAGAAACAGTGAAACTTTACCCCAAGTACTCAATACTCAAATTATGATCTGTTTTACCAGGCTACAGACATGTATGGAGACATTCAAAATGAGGTGATAAAAGGGATGCTTTAGAAATAAATGGTATGCAGAGCGATGTCTTGTTTCTCAAAATGTACATATTTTATTTTAATCAGCTCCTAATTGAAAGCTCAAATAATATGAAAGAAATGGACACTACTCTCTCGCATATATTATAAGCATTCTATATGTATTTGCACATATGCATAAATAGTTATATCTATATTTAATGGAAATGAACTTAAAAGACATCATAAGTCAGCTCTGGCTACTGCCTCTAATACATCGTATTTCCTCTCCCACTGCCTGTGATATCTCGCCTTCTTCAGCCAGATATCATCTACCAGATAATACCTTCTGTGTAAAAACACAGCATCAGAAAACAGACTTTAAGAAAAAAGCAAAAATATTTATTTTTTGTAAGTAAACTAACGGACCTTTGTTTAAACTGCTGCCATTAATGCCATCTTCCCTCCTACGAACATACGTATATAACAAGTCTGCCTAAGCAACAGCCATTTCAAGCCACTGTAGAAACAAGGCTACATTAGATCTGAGATACAACTGAGAAGAGAAACTGGATAATTAGACTCCTACCTTGGAGTATATGGAATTGTATGAGGCTTCATTTGATTGAAGGTATAGATCAATTTCTGGGCAGCCCTTTGCTGTTGTATCTCCTAAGGAAAAGCACACTATAAATATTACTCACATTCTATCTTGCAGAAAAACTATCATGAGTTGTCAAAAAAAAATCATCTGATTATTTGCATACAAAACAATAAAAGGGAGATAGATATTTGAAATAATTTTCATTTCCAAAGACTGCATAAAGCCACACAGGTCAAGCATGCAGAAGGCATTACTCCTTTGACAAGCATAACTTTAAGACATGTCAGACCAGTCAGTGTCCCCTAAGGTTTGAACTCACCCTCAGGCAGAGATGTAGCACTGTGCCATCATGAAAGATCTTTTGCCAGGTCTGAATCACCTCCGGTAGAAAAGACTTCACAATAAAGACTTGTCCCAGCTTTAATACATCATTTTCAGACCAAGTACAAATGACCTTCATGGCTCTCCGTAGACCCCCATCCATCTCCTCCCGTGACAAGACTTGGATCATTGCAGCCATACCACGCTGGGACCAAGAAGACATGCTTTTGTCAAGGTTCATAGGAGAACTCTCTTCTAGACGATAAACTGTCACTTCTTCCCCAGCTAAAAAAATATAGAATTTTGTTGGTACAAATCAGCTCTCACAGAGAAAGAAGCAAACTGTGTTTTGATTTGGCATCTTACAACCATATACCACTTCACAGTCCTGTGCAGGATAGACTTGAAGAGGGAGCCTTTTTTTAATCATTAGTGCTCGTGTATATGAAAGCCACCTCTATCTAAATTTACACTATTTGTTATACCTACTCCATGAAGATTAGCTGTGATAAAATAAGTGGTCAAAAGAGCTTGTATCAAGCCTTTAAACAGAGACAAATTTAAGAACTCATGTGGTCTTCCACACATACTTTGATATTCTATCTCTCTCAAACAATCTCCTCTGTCATAGCTTTTAAGTATTTAAGGATGACTGGAATTTAAAAATACATGTTTTTAAAAGATTACCATTTTATCTCCAATGGATTAACTTAAATGCAAGTATCCTTAGTATGCCTCCTTTTGTTTCTTTTTTTATGTGGAAGTGTTTATTAACACTTGTCTGAAGTTAATCACGACTGAAGGAACACAGAGTGCTTTAATTGTGCTTAATTACACAAACTGGTAAAGAAGTCAAACAAATACATAAATGTGTTATCTACTCCAAAATAAAAGGCCCAAAGATTGCCGCACTCTTCAGCAGTGAGTAAAATGAGTTGTTTCAGAAGTAACAAATTGGCCATGACGAGCAAGGAAAGTTAGGATAGGAACCCAAAAGGGCACAATCTTTCCTTGGTATTTAAAGTTCTACTTGAAAGAGCAATCCAAGGAGAACAAGCTAAAGCAAATGAACAGAAAGTTTTCAGTTTGCCATTTTAAAGTAAGATTTGTCTTCTTCCCAGAAACTCCAGCATCACTTGCAGCGCACAAAATTTCAGAAGTTCTGCTGCCACTAACAACATTTTCCTGAAAGCAGAACAAATCTGGCGAGTTTTAATTCAGTCACAGATGATTGTCTCCTGATGTAGTTATAATAGCATTCCTCTCTTGCAGAGCAAGTAGGACATCTTCCTGTTGCCATCATCTGCAAACTACTTTCTGTAAACAGAAAGTACACTTTTTTAAGAAAAAAAAGAACCCTGGCTCTCTTTCCTGTAGCTCACATTATTTGCAATGTTAATTCATAAGACAGAGGTATTCACTGGCAAGTATGATGAGGAAACTGTATCTGCTAGAAGCAAAAAAAAAAAAAAATGACATAAGGAAGGACAAATTAGATCAGGCGTTGCTGAACACGAGCCCTTGTACATATGTTTAAGCAATGTAAATTGACATGAAAATAAGACATTTTAACAAGGATGCAATAATTAGGTACACTTCTTTATCCTATATCGATTCTTCATTTTATTATCTTTTGACAATTCAACACCTAAAAGGGTGTCTCCTGGGAGCTCCAGAAATTAGAATGTCCAGTGTGCTCCTAAATATATTAATTATCTACAGTAATCAGCTTCCAAGAAATCCTTGGCTAATTGCCGAGAAATATCAGCAATTGGCTGCTGTGAGACAAAATATTCTACCCATTGAAAAACAAAGGTTCCTAGAGCTCAAGTGTCTAGAGGCAGAGCTCTTACTGCTGTAAGCCAATGCAGCACACTGATTTCAAATCTCTTCCAAACAATCACATGTATTATTCCCTATTATTATTCAATTAGAGCACAGTTTTTTTTTTTTTCCCCTGGCAAATTGCAAGGCTTCTGTATCAGGTACAGGAGCAATGTCCTTTCAGCCAACATCTGGTTTTCCTGCACTTATTCATATATGAATGTGTGTGCTTCTGTGAGAGAATATAAGTAGATGTAAATATTAATGGAAGAAACTTTTTGCTGCCTTCTATTAATTAATAAAGGTTATAGTGAAGACAAACTAAATTCTTCTTAGACCCAAACTGCAGCAAGAAAAACAGAAATTAACAGTAATTTAAAAAATTAAAAAAAAAAATTAAAATCTCGGTGAAGGTACCAAACGTAGGAGCAGAAAAGATGTGGACTCCATGTTCAAAGAGGTATTCAAAATTCAAGCGGACAAACCTTCAACAACCTTATCTAAATTGGACGGACAGGAACTTGAACTAGACAATCTCCAGAATTCCTTCCTAAATGAAATTATTCTGACTCTATACCAGTCCATTTCTTTTAGAAAAGATTTTTAGTTTAATTTACTGAAATTAATCCAATGCCGTAAGTGCAGTATTTAACAAAATAATGTATGGATAAAGCAGAAAATAACCAGAAATTTGGTACTCACCAAAGAGCTGGACTGGCGTAAATGGTATGGTGTGAGCAAGTCTCATTAAATTGTTTCTTTCGACAGCTGCAAACAAGACAGATATCCCTACTGAGTAAACATCAACCTGGTTGAGTTTCAAAAATATCTGACATTTATTGCAGCGTGCAAAGCCAAGTAAGCCACAGTGTAACCCTTGATGGCATTTTGGAAATTCTACCCAACTGGTGGCGTCTTTTGTGCACAAAAGGTATCTGAAAAGCATCAGCTACCACCGTTTTCCCTGTTTCTTCCTTTCGAGAAAACTCCTTCTGCCGTGCTTCATCTTGCCCTTCTGCCAAAGGCCATGCCTGCCTCTTCCTCCTGTGAACTCCAGCAATATTCCAGCTGTGCCTTGTAAGAAGATGAACTGGCCTCAACTGCCCTTGTCAGGCTCAGAAATGCCTGGGCTCTTAACAAAGTACTGCAGGGAAATCCAAGCTCACGCTGCACAGAGAACAGCTATTTCATCTGGGCTCCATGCCAGACCACATCATTAACACTATAATCCCACCTTAATTGGGGGACCTATTTCTTAGATAAACACCTTTATCACCTGCACACTAACCAAGTGTTTATGCATTTATGTCTTCATAATGTGTAGGTTATCAGGAAGCAGGAGAGAAACGTCAGATGACCTCAAAAGGACTAAGATTAGAATAAAGAGATAACCCACATGTGTATGAGTTAGGGCCCCAATAGCTGAGATGATCAGTGTTCCAGACTCTAATATGATGCTTATTTACAATCTCTTTATTCTGAATTTGACAGGGATTCATTATTGTGCCTATATACTCCTTGAAGCACGGACCAAAAAAATAGGGTTATCATCCTCTGAAGCCTTGCTAGGGACATGCTCTCATCAGTAAATTAGTACATAAGAGGGAAAAGAAAGTGAACAAGGGGACCTCCTCTACATCCCTTTCCCGCCACGCTTTGCAAGAAAGCCGTCAGACATCTGCTAACTGTCAGACCAGGCCAAGACTCACTCCAGAGTCTTGCACAACCCACTAAACTCAAGGCGAGAGCTCTTCTCGGTGTGCCAAGAGGCAGACCTGTAGCTGACTGTGAAACATTACAGCAAAAATGAAGGTTTGGGTTTTTTGGTTTTGTTTGTTTATTTTAATAAAAGAGCTATTTGGTGCACAATATCAGGACCAAAGATTTGGTCTTGGCTGACTAAATTATTTCCCAATCGTTCTAAGAAGCAAAAACCTGCACCAGAAACTTCCCAGAGCCTTTGATTTTGTAAGCTCACAACACAAATGATCCTCATCTATGCCAAAAATGCTAATTAATCCAAAAGTGCATGCATGCATAGAACCCAGTTCATCACTCTTGTACACCATCAACGAGGAGGTGTTGTTCACAGTGAAAACAGTGTAGGTTTGCTGTACTTCACGTGGCTGCTAATGCTGCCGGTTTACTCCAGGCCTCCCTTGAGACAAGTCCAAGTTGTGCAGGCAATAGGGACATCTACCGGCAAGCTCTGCACAGTTCTCCTCTGAGGAAAAAAAATAAACCCGGGTTCCTTTGGAGAAACTCTGTGCACACTCACAGGCGCTAGGCAATTAGTACTCAAATTATTTATTCTCTGACAGATTTCCATGAGTTCATAGGTTCTCTGTTCTTAAACACAGGTTATGCAGTACAGGACAAACAAATCGAAGAAGTCAACCTGGAAAGCATGAAGGAGGGATGAAGGGAAGTGACATCTATAAGCAAATGAGTGCATCCTCCGTAGGAATCACAGCTCTCTCCCTTATTTTGCTGATATTTTGAAAGCTATTATGTACATCCAGCTCAGGATTTGCCAAAAAATGTCTGAAATGGGACAATTAGCAACAAAATAATAATTCACAACTTCCTCAGTACTGTGTATGAATTAACACACAACCTTCTTTGCAGTGGGCAATTGTGCAACTCTTCAAAGTGAAAATCACAGAGGATGACAGGGAAATGATTAATGTTCTTTTTAATTTGATAAATTACTTAGCTATCATTCCGATGCCTCCTGCTTACCTGAGTAATGATGGTGCAGATCTTGAGATGCTTTCAAGCAGGTGAAAATATCTGAAATAATGTTTAAAGGATCATTATGTTAATTATTATAGCAGAGATGGATGCATGAGTTTGAATTCCTTCCATCCCAGAGTTTGTCATGAAACAGATTAATCAGAATTACCGCCTGAGTATTCTGAAGAGAGAACTACTAATAAGTTTTAACTATGTTATAATACACAGTATACTGACATATCTCATCATCAAAGTAATATAGCCAGATGACTTATTTATTCAGGAAAATGGTGGGAAACTATCAATATTAACCTCAAGGACACATAGTGTTTCTCAGCCAATTATGCCTCTGGGATATTAAAAGCACTTTGCTGTCCATCACGCTTCATAGCCTCCCAAAGGCATGATTTTTGCAACTTCATCCTCAGTCATTAAGCATTCCATTAACTATACTATTACACTCAAGTTATGATAATAGTGATCCATTAACCCATGACATCTAAAATGCTGTTAAAATATAAACAGGGAAATAATCTCTGTGGTTACATGGAGTTAAAGAGGAGCAGCCACATCAAGTTTCATCCAGAAAGCCTTGTTTTATAAAAAGCTGTTTTATAATAAAACCAAGATTAACGAACATATTTCCATTAATTAGATGAAATTACTTTTTTCTTTTGGAAAACAAGCCTTCAAAATGCCAGATTTCAAAACACATGTATGCCATGCTATTTTTAATTTTGAATAAGGTCATTAAACTAAATAAGGTTACTGAATCTATGTGGACATTATGCTTTTCTTGCTGCCCCCTTTTTTTTTTTTTCAGTTTACTTAGATTCCCATTCCTAAGGAAACAGGTCTTAATAAATTAATTAATTAATCATTTAATTAATTAAAGGGATTTGGGGAAAAGGATTGGCATTTCTGGGGAATACTCTTAGCTTTAATCAAAGCACAGGTGCTGCAGCCACTGGACGCTGGAGTAGCCCTCCTTAGACCTGCCCTCACCACAGTGGGGTCAGCAGCACGTGTACCAGGGAGTGAGGAGCCCATTTCCACATCTCAGCCAGCCTTAAAATAGGTGTAGATACCCTGCTGTGCAGCCTGTTACAGTTGCATGGCATGTCAGGAAAACTGGAACACAGAATAGACTAAAAAGCCAAAAAAATCTGAGTGAAGTCAAACAGCACTCTGCTTCTGTGGAGCAAAGTCATTCCTCACTGTGACCTTGAATTTCTTCACTGACAATTTGGTAATAAATTCAATATTTCACTGCCTTTATAATTTCAGTGATACCATAGAAATGGAGAATTTGCACCAACTTGAAAAATCCAGCATATTTTAGAAATTTTATTCGATGATCTACCCCCAGGTGTATATCCATCTGTAAATCAGGAGATCTGCTAGACTGCCAGGAATGAAAACAACACCATCTTTTTAAACAGTTTATTCCTGCTAAAAAGTAGCATATTACATGGCAGGCTTCAGTAAAAACAGATTTTTTTTTTCTTTTAAGACTTCACAGTTAGCCTGAGGAAAACATATTCCCATATAAAAAAGTCTTAGACTTTAAAATAACAATTAATAGCTAACATATGAAATAATAGTTGAACATCTTTCTATAACAATTCACCTATGGAAAATTAACTTTTCTTCATATTCTGTGCTTCAGAATTGTCAAGATGTGCAGAGAGGAATTAAAATTGATTAACAGTAAAAATGAAGAACTTACTGTCAGTTCCCTTCAAACTTCTCAACCTGTATAAAAACAAACATTTGAGATTTTACATTAAACTCTTCTGGTCTAGTACTGGTACCTATAACAGGATGTGAGCTATGTGAAGCCTAAACTCACAAAGGTTCGATCTGTAGAGTAAAACAAAAAAACTCCCAGTGCAATTTTGTCTGTTGCAATGATTTCAAACAATCTCAGTTACTGAAAAGCAATGACATTTTTCTGCTCTCCTCTGCTGCTCTCTGTATTGTGTGCCACCGCTTGTGTGATTTATACAGCATCAATGGCATCAATCAAAGACCTCTTCAGTCATGTTCACGCTTGATCATTTTCCAAACCATGTGAATCAATGTTGGGCTATTCTCTGCACTACATGTGTCACAGGCCTTGCTTGCCTACAAGCAGACTGTTTCAACAGCTGGTCTAAAGGTTAAGGCTTCAACCTGAACAGTGAAGTAGCTTTCATTGAGGACGATGGTGGGTATCTCACACCAGAGGGATCCCACTGAAGACAGCAGATTGAATGACAGAATCAGGCTATGCAGGGCCTGCAAGTCCTGATGGAAGACATGCAGCATGCCTACTGCCTATAAATTTTGGAGTAAAAAAGAAAAAACACAGGATAGCTAAAGAAAAAAAAAGCGCAGATCAGTTTTCGTCTTCCCAAGGTGAAATTGTATCAGATGTGGCAGTTTTACAGAGCCTTTTATTTACTATATTCACAGTGTTAGTAAACATGGGAGATATAAAAGGATCAATGAAAAAGTGGAAGTAAAGAAAAAGGAATGGAAAGACAACACCACGTATGAAAATACCTCAAATATTAACATAATTTTCAATCAAGCTGAAAAAGAAACTGAATCAAGCTGAAAAAAGAAAATTGAAAGCAATTTTGAAATCAGCATAAGTTCACTGAACATAATCAAAGCTTAATAACTATTGAAAGTTCTTTACAAAAAACTAAACTAAATATTTTGTAAATGTGCAGACTCAAAACAACAGATTTTAATTGGAGAAAAAGAATAGCTTTCAGAGGGTTGCCAGGGGTTGAATTATGAAGACAGCAAACATGCAAATGACACAGTAAAAGGAAAGGCAAACTTTCATGTTCACTAGATTGGAATAAGGGCTAGTTAAAAGATCCTAGTGTGATCTTAGTGATTGAATTAGAAAATTGGATATTGTTAGAAAAATAGAGGGTGATTCTATTCCACCTAAATTTATACATTTTGTTTTAATCATTCTCTTTTATCTCCATTAATAAGCCTGCATTTGAAGAAACCAGAGTGAATTCCCTTAATTCTTCATTTCAGATAAACTTCTCATCAAAAGCCTATTACAGAAATGAAGTAGAAACTGCAGGAAGTATGGAAGTCTCTTATAAAAGCGTGTAATTAACATCTTAATATATGTAGGAATACATACGAGGAGTTCCTTTTCAGATTATTTTTCTGGGTGTTTCCAAACATGCTATTACTCAAATCCTAAAAAGAAGAGAAATATTTTTGTATTCTTTGTAATCTTTTCATCACTGTCAGATGTACAACAAGCAACTCAAAAAGGTCTAAATCTTGAAAATAATTATTGCTATGTTTATTATGAATATGAATAACTTGTCCCACTGATAGGTAGGTAAATTATGGCATTATTGTACCTACAGTAAATTAAAATATTAATTTGTTCATGTCATCTCCATTCATTTGAATAAAATACTCAGGACTCCATTTACATCTCAATATGCTCATCAAAAATTACTATAAAAATGCCATCAAGGCCTTCTAATACTGAAAGTATTCAGAAACTTATTTTGCACTAGTTCAGGAACAAAAATGTATCCTAATTATTTAAAATGAAAGACAACATATTGAACAGTTTTCCAGTGATGTTTAGATCATATCCAGGTCTTTCAGTTAAGAAAGTCCTCAAACAATCTTTAATTTTCCTGTCATTACAGGAAAAAAGTCATTTATGGGCCAGACTGCCATTTGCCAGGCCCTCTATCCTTCTATTAATATATTACATGATATTATTCTTCTAATATCTATTTTTTTTTCTAAAAATAATCATCAGGCAGATTTTGTTCCTTAAAATGGCACAAATTAAAAAGTTCAAAGACAAAATTTTAAAATTCTTCAGCAGATATGAAATCTTCCCACACACATCCTCATTGTATTGGCTCCCTGCTAGCTATTGAGAGAGTTCTGTGAAGTGATGATGTTTGGGGAGAAAGGTACTATTTTAAAAAAAAATCTTGGCCTAGCTCTGATGCCATTGTAGTTGCTGGAACTTTCATCAGGATTCAAAAATTCCACACTTGATTTTTATCTGGGCAATTTTAATCTGAGTTTTGAAGCATCGGATTAGTCCTTTCACACAGCTTTGCCTTTGTTTTGCTTGTCTCACCCCGTATTTCACATTTTTAAAAAATTATTGATTTAGTTTCCAAGCTTGGCTTTAACAGAAATTACACAGTTAGAATAAATATTTAGATTTGTTTTCTTCTTTCTAATTTCCTTTCATACTTCTGAGATACTGCTATGCAATGTGGTAAAAGATACATTTTCTTCCATTAGCCACACCATTTAAAAAGAGATAGAAGTTTCTGTAACCCGTCTTCTTGCCCAAACTCATTAGATCTTCAGCACATATAGATTGGTTTATCTTCATCAAAGTCAATGAACCTATGTTGATTTACATAAGCAAAGGGCCTTACGATAGGGAACTGCAAATTAATTCTGGTAAAATATGGTCTTTTTAAACCAGAGGTTAAAAAAATAAGCTTTGCAATTATTATCAATATTAACTCACACTTTACAAGAAACAGCTATGTCTTATAGATTAAGAGCTATGTAGCTAACTTTCCAAAAGTTACTTGACTTCTCTAGCAGATTCTGCCTAGAGATTCAAGACCAAACTGTGTACTTGCTTAATTGCTCAGTGGTTACTAAAGCGTGCTTGGTTTTCAGGCCATCTTAGTCATATTCAGACCCACCTCATGACTCAATAACTTAATATCCTACTTTATTAATGTTCACAGAATGCTAACAGCTCTTAAACTATTCATTTATTAGCACACGTGCTGTCCACATATATAATATAGTTCCTTATGTAGCAACAGTTATTTCATGACAAAGAACCAGCAACTCCATGGGGACAGGAGAGCTACATCACCATGTAGATAGGGTCTAGGATATGCCTTCTTAAGTCTTACCTCTCGAGAATGCTTCAAGTAATCACAGGCTGGCACGGTATGCCTATCAACTTCCTGATTTTTCATTTTTTGCTGCATGTACCTGAGACGTTCTAAACCTAAACAAAAGAACAGATTTCAGCAATATGTGGCATGTAAGTGAACAGCCTGTTGCTATAAAATAAACACTTCTTTAGTGCTATAAAATAAACACCTATACAACATACTGCTCTAGCAAGTAAGTAATGAGCTATAAATGCCGTAACAGAATTTCACAGAATTAAAACAGACTGTTTCCATTCTCTGTCAGCAAATTTCATGGGAGCCCTGTTCTCTTCGGACCATGATGTACTGAGTCACAGCAGTCCCTGGAGCTTCTCCTAGCAGCTTGCAAGCTGAAGCCAGTGAGCTGTATCATAACAAGGCTGGGAGGCGAGGTGACCTGTGCAAGGATCTCTCAGAATGGAAGAGCTAGAAAACTACTAAAAGAACAGGAAGGTCATTCCCTATTCATTCCTACAGGGACAATGCAGAATTCATTTCTTCCCCTTGGAGGATGTATTTCTGAGCAATGAATAATGCATTCAGGGGATCTGCCAGCAGATAAAGTACTGCCGCATAACCTGCAAGTCTAAATACCCTTAAAAATTTACCAGAGACTATTTTTGCAATTAACCAGGAAACCTCAGGAGAGGAGGCAAGGATATCATCCTCCTTGCTTCTCACTCACTCTTGTTAGTGCTCTGCTATCCCCCACGTGAGTCAGAAAACACTCAGAGCAAGATCTATACCCATTTTGCCTCTGCAACAAAAGTCCAAGCCATCCATGCTGACATCTAACTCTATTCGTATTACGAATTATGCCATGCAGTGGAAATGGCAGTTTGTGGATTTTTATTTACTGCTTTTCATTTTAAATCTGTCCTAAATTTCATCAGCTGCAAAGTATCACATACTTTGCTGGTTGAAATTAGACACAGTGAGCCAGTTCTTGCTGTATTTCTCTTCTTCACTCCAGATGTTGGCCTCAGCAGGCTCTGAGCTCACTTGGGTGTTCTGAGGACATCCAAGGGGGTGTTCTGGGGACACATCATCCACTGTAATCACCTGGCAAGACATGGACACAACCGCACTCAGTGCACAGGTACTTCTACAGTTTCCCTGACAAGACATGGACACAACCGCACTCAATGCACAGGTACTTCTACAGCTTCTCTGACAGCCACACCATGGCATGGACTCTGAGACCATGAAAATGTCATTGGCTGAGGTGACTCCCAACTGAGAAATAGATTTTCACGATTTTGTTACAAGTTGCAGAATACACATTGGTTTTGTCTGGAAAATACTACTAGTGAAAATATCTGGCACTATAGCTTTTTAAAAGGCTTTTTAAAAGGCCCCTGGAATTGGGCCTCCAAGTTCAAGCTTTAGGTCTGCTGCTGACCTGTAAATCAATACACTTTCAGCTTTTGCTTCATTGAGCAACTGTTTTCAGCAGCTGATAAATAATTTTTATATACATGCACATACATACTGATATGAGACTAACTCCACATGCACACAAGCATATATATGCATATGGACACACATACATACCTATACATATATTTTTACACACACACACACACACACACATATATACATAGATAGAGAGAAAATCAACACACTATCTGCCATTTGTGTCTCTTGGATTCAGAAAAAAAGGATTACCAAACCCTCATAGACAGAGAACAGCACAAGAGACATGGCTTGTCTCTTTACTGTGCACAGGAAGTCTGGATCGAACTCACTGCTCCCAGACCATATCAAGTCTCACCACATTCCTCCTCAACAAAGTGTAAGGGCAGATTCCTTGCTGGGTAAAGCCAGTAACAGGCTTGGTCTACTACCCAGCAGGGCCAGTAGACTTCACTCAGTTCAAAACTGAACCCCCAAGCCCTCAGACAAAAGAGAAATTAAAGCAAAGCCAGAGGAAAAATTCCTCCACAATTTACATACAGTATTTTAAAATGCATATATTTTCAACTAAGTTTTAATTTTGTTCCAAGCTATGAAATTTCTCTCAATGAACAAAAACGGCAGCTATGGATTATGTGATTCTCTTGTTTCTCCACATACCGGCACTTGAAGGAGTTTTTGCTTCTTCTTTTCCTTTGGAGACTTTCTGTCCCTGTTTCGTTGTTTTGATTTTGTTGCCTCACTGTGGTGCAGCTCACTAGATAGTGAAGAGTCTATATGGAGAGCTCAAAAAAAAGTGATGATGTTAGACATTTTGCAAGGATAAGAACTGATCAAACTGAGATTTGGCACATCTCCAAAGCTGAAAATGAACTGTGATTCCCAAAGCTAATATTCATGAAATTCTTGCAGCGCAGTACAAAGATGTTCACCATCATAAGATATAAAACAACAAATCTTAGTCATCATCTCATACTATTTATACTTAAAACTGGAGTCTGCTTTGTTTTAGCTCTTGTAAACAAACTTGGTAGTGGATGGTTTGGGATTTTTTAGACCTACTATGAAAATATCTTCCTCTTCATTCTCCATTCATCTATCTATGGATGAATCATCTAACCTATGATAACATTGGTGTACTTTAAGGTTTTGTACCATTTCTTCCAGTCCTTATAAGTCTGGGATTACTTTCCTGGTGTGGGATATTGTCTCAGAGCCAACATAGTCCATCTGTCAGCCTGGCTGTGTAGTCACAACCACAGAGTGCAGTCCAGATGGGAAGAATTGGGGTTGGACTGCTACTGTGCCCTGACCAACAGCATTATCTTGTTTGGATATAGGCGATTCTTCATATATACCCTACAGCAACCAGACACACTGGGAGGAAAAAGAAGGAATAACTCTGAATTCCCTGCTACTACCCCCAAATGCAGCAAATACTTTCTGCATTCCAAAGATAAATTTGCAATGTCTCAGGCTCCTGAAAAAAATTGTGTGAGTGGTATAAAATTTTATTATTACCACCTATGGCCTTGCAGGTTTTCTCTCTTTTCTCTTCCTTGCGAGACTGCAAGCTGTGGCTCCTGCGGAAACTCCAGTCCCTCCAGAGCGGGCTGATCCAGAAGGAGGTGCTGCACTTCAGCTTGTTCTCAGGGACAGCACTGCTGCACCTCGACTTGTTAGAGTTGTAGGAGAAGGACTGTGATTCTTTTATCTGGACGCGCCTGGGAGGACTCTCAGTGCAATTGCAGTCACTGTTATAGGTGGAATGCATGCACAGAAGCTTCTTTTCTTTCCTCTTTGGGCTGAAAACCCCTTTCTCATCACCTTCAGAGAATCCCCAGTTCACAAAGCCACCTTCAGTTTCTTCCTTGTCATCACATGAGGGTGTCACATCCTCACAAAGAGCTGGCAATGGCTGCAGACCTATAGGATGATCAGTCACTAAGTCATCAGTATTTTCTCTTGGTAAATTAATAGCAAAATCTCCCTTGCTCCACTGGTAGTCTTTTGGTTCTTTTCTAATGATGTGCACTCTCTGTAAATTTTGCTGAGCTTTGATACTGCTTTGTAGCTTGTCCCCTAGTGTGACTTCCCTATACTTATCAGGAGTGCTTGAAAAGGACAAATTTAATTCAGCATCCTCAGAGAAGGACCCTCCTTGATGGTCAGGAGGAACCAGCAAAAATTGTCCATATCTGGGAGTCGACTTAGTCTCAGAAGATACCCCTGAAGTAAGCGTGTCGCTCTCTATTTCTGTCTTCCGAGAGCTGTCTTCCACTGCCTTTCTATCCTCAGCCCTCAGAACATGGCTTTGGCACTCTGACGACCACTGGCTCCTCACCAAGCTCCGCAAGAGGGATGGAGGCATGCTGTAGTAGTTGTACTTCTTATCGTGCAAACCCTCCAGGCTGCTGAGCGTCTTGGAGTAGAGCACGTTGCTCCAGCTGTGGGGGAGCTTCCTGCAGGCTCGGTGCTTGGTGTCAGCCAGCAGGGCTTCTTCCACTTGCAAGGTGTCTACGACCGAAATCACTTTCAGGATGTCCACGGTCAAGGCAGACAAGTTCTGCAAATGTCCCAGCTGGCTGTCCAGGGAAAGTAAAGATTCCTTGATACAAAATACCTTCTCATGTACTTCTTTCAGCTGCAAAACCATCTCCTGCACTCTAGGTGGAAAAAGAAAAGATTATTAAAATGTCAAAACACAGACCTTAATTTGTTTGCCAGGTGATGAAGGAAGCCATTAACACAACTTAAAAAAAAAAATCTGTAATTAAACAGTACTTCATTTTTTCACAGTGACCTACATTCCCATAAACATCTACATCTGACAAAAACAATCCAGACTCTCGATTTGTCATTCAGATTTACTGAGCTAAAACCCCGTGACTTTTAAACAGACAGGCTTTTTGCTCAGTAAGCCTCTATTTTAAACATTGCTACTTTCCTTCTAATCCCGACGCCTTGCCATAGAACTACTTAATTTTGGGTAACAAGACACAGCCCTGGAAATGAGAAGAGCATTGCTAATCTGCCAGTCATCCTGCATTTCTACATTTCTTGTGCAAGAACGGAAAGCATGAGGCTCACATATGCCTACAGATACTCTTTCATTTCTCAAATATTAGACTTTGCTGGGAAAAGAGCATTCCCAACAACCTATTTTGCCTCCTGAATGTATCTTGTATGTTCAATGACACCAGTTATCTCCAAGTATAATTCAATTGCCAAACAAGCAGAGCCTTTTTAATGATCTTCAAATCCCCAAAGAACAATGTGAGAACTTCTAAGCCTGGGGGGAAAAAAAAAAAAAAGAGAATGATTTCATTTTAACAAAATTATTATCTTTACATCTCCTGAAGCTACCCTCTCTGGTGCTTTATCACTAAGATAGTGATAAACTAGCTACAGGCAATATGCCAGAAGTATTCCTTTCCTTTGCCACCGAGTAACTAACCAGGGTAATATTTAACCAATGGCTGAATAAAATTAAATGCTGAGGTTCCAGGGTATTTTATTCTTCTCTATGATTTTCTTTTAGAAGGGATTATTCCTCTGCTGTGCAATTTACCTTTGTACTCAAAAACCCCTTTCCAGATCTATAAGTATCTATTAAATGAAATCTTTTTTTGCTGTAGCCAATACTGCAACTTGTGAACAAACCTACTTATTTTATTTTATTTCTTTTACAGAGGACCTCTTTTTGTTTATATGCTTTGTTTTGATACACAGAAAATATCATTAATGGCATTCAATAAAACTTTTCATGGTACTCAGTTTGTTTAATTCTTCCCATCAAACTTAACGGCAGCTGTGCCATTGATTTCAACAAAAAGCTGAATTAGGCTAATAGTAAAATCCTGTTAATAGCCCTATCAATATTTTCCAAACCAAAAGAGTGCATTGTAGCTAATGCTACAGTGGTTATATGGCTATTTCTGCAAGCAGCAGTTACACTTGATCCGAGGAAACATTTTCACAGCGGTCCTACCCTTGGTAAGCCTTTAAATAAAATAAAATACTCCGCGCTCCAATCCAGCATCATCATCTCAGTTTGCAGAAGTGGAGGTGAGCAACATCCTCCTGCACCCTGTTAACTGCTGGCGTACTGCACACATCTAGATACTCTGTTCTGCCAGCAGCACTTCCAGCCAAGCCTTCCATTAGTTCAGATAACATTACACTTCAACCCAATTACAATGGCCTATGCATGCTAATTCCTCTCATATTCACAGTGGTCATAATCTGTTCCAAAGGTCTCAGTTTATCAAAGCTTTTTATATGATAAATGCATACAAAGGACACAAATTAGTCACAGAACACACCTTTCGGTGGTCACACGGATCCTTTCACTGTCACTGGAGTTCAAACTTTCATTCTTCTCATGAAAATATTTTTCCACACACTGCTCCTCAAAGTCATGCAGCTTCTTCAACTCCTCATCACTCAGGTACAGCTCTGAGCAAAGGAAGTAAGAGTAGCTGGTATTAAACATGCTATCAAATGCCCCTCCGTTCATACCCCTTCACGAAAAAGAAGAGCAAACTGTCAAAATAGGTTTCCCTTCCCTTCCTTGACAGGAATGAATTAGACCTCACTGTGTGAATTTGGGGTTATGTACGAAGACCAAACATGCCAAGTATGCATAAATGTGTTTTTCATCTTATCTTACATAGCATGAGGAATTACGCTGACAGAAACTCCTCATTCTTTTAAAGATTTGAAAATGTACAGCTAATTGGCTACTCACAGGTATTTTTTCTTCCTAACCTTTACCAGTACCTTGTTATATGTGTGTAAGGCTCCTAAAACTTTGAGACAGATTTACAAGATTTACCTATGAAGATCTTGATATAATTTGATTAGGACATTTAATATGGGATGTTCACCTATTATCATCTTTTCAAGAAAACAAAGCTACAAAGCTTTTTCTTGACTACTTGCTTCAGATATTTATATGAACAAGATATTGAACAAATATTCTTTTCACTGGGGTGAAGGGAATTCATCTAAAAGTTTTGAACTCCAGCTCAGGCTTCTCATTGGACTGTTTTTCCAGGAGGCCAACCTATGACTCCTGAGAGAGCGGGTCAAATACAAGAAGTGCATATGGTATAGAAGAGCAGGTCAGTCTTAAAGAGGATTTGTTTTTAGCTACCTCCCTGATCCCAGCTTCACATCTTCCAAGCTCCTCTTTATTTTTCTTTTTGCGTACCAAAGTTTCCAGTGCACAAGAGCAGCTGTGACACACTGCATGCCAGTGTTTTCTACAAGTTGTAAGACCCTGCTGCAACAGATAACCCCTCAGGGAAGCAATACATAGTAGCACAGGGTCCTTTTCACCATGGTGCGTGAGATGTGATCATCTGCTCAGATCTCCTCCTCTCTAGCCTGTTGGTGACCTTTCCTCAAAGATTTTACCTTAGTATTTTCATTGATTCTCCACTGGGTGGCACTCGATTCTCATTGCTAAAACCAACTAATTCCCACCACAACAAAATTTAAGACACTTGCCAAGCAATGCATAAGCATATAGAAAAAAAAAAAAAAAAAAAGGTATATGGAAAGGAAAAAAAAATCTCTTTCCAAGAAAGGGTCCGGGCAAGGTACTAGCTGCCTTCCATCTTTTTAGATAAGCACAGCACTCTCTTGCCTTCTCGGAGCCTAATGTACGTTATAAGTAAGACACTCGTGCTGAGTTAGCCACTTATACTATGCACACACATAAAAAGAACAGTGCTACTTGGAAGGAAGGATGCTGTACCCCGCTGTGATAGAGGAGCCAAGGCCAGGAGCAGCAGTCAAGGCTCAGCATTGACTAATCCAGCTCATATTTGAATCGTGTAACTGATTGAAAGCATAGCAGGTATCTTTAGGGATTCATGTCCAGCAGAGAAAATCCTGAACGAACCATACCCCAACTATAACCGTTTATTAGGCAACAATGCTCCAAAAAAAAGGGATGAGGGTGTCCAATGCCACAGACCAACATCCCTGGCCTCTCAAGAGGTAAGTTTACAGCCATCACCCTTCCTCCTCCTCACTCCCGTGCCTCGTCCCATCAACCAGCAAGAACTCTCCGCTGAGTCCATGTCCCATCCCATCCCAGCAACTTGTGCTCACACCTCCCCTTACAACAGTGACTGGGAGCTGCTCATGGCTCCGTGACTGGAGCTGGCAGCAGTGAGACAGGAAGGTGGCATCACCAGGAAGAGGCATGGGAAGGACCTACGCACAGGGGGACAGAGGAGCACCAAAGTGAGAAGGGTTGAGGTGACAACAGCAGGACTGGTGCACAGAGGGATGGCAGCAAGCAGGTAAGAAGCTCCTGTCCCCTAATCTGCCATCTCTTGATGTCTTCTGGCCTTGGGCTCTGCTGTGATTTTCTCGTTGCATTGCTCATGCAATTGCACCCATCACATGGCATCGTGATGCTCTTGCTGCTTCCCTGTACCCCAGCAAGATGCAATACTACCAAGGGCTATGCGGCAATTGTTCTGGGCCTTACCTTAAACGACTTTGTAACATACTGCTATAAAGTATGGCAAATTGTATAACATCCAGGCATTATTTTGTGCATGATGGTGGACTTATCTAGCACAAAGGAGTTTCTTTCTACTAATCCTGCCCACTCAGAGGTTCATGTACTTTGATGGAATTCCACCTTCACAGCTCCTATACATATACAAACAGGTTTGTTAATTGTTTCAGAAATGGGTCCTCAAATATTAGCTTTCACAACACCAGCTGATGCCAAAATGTCAGGAAGGAACTTTCCACTCACATGTGGCTTAGCGGTCAGAGACCACTAAGTTTCCTGAACCATCTTTTATAGACATTACTGCCTTACATCAAAGCATCCTTAACTTTTTACTTTTTAGTTTACCTAATTCATAAGACTATTATTACTATACAGAGAAACCGAAAGCAGAAGTCTGATCTCTATTTGGTGTTGTTTTCACTTACAGTTTTACCATACAAACCACACGTGCTGATGAGCGATGATCCAGACAGGGAAAAATAACGAAAACTTAATTGGATATTGTGAGCACAGAGGGAAAAGATCAGTGAAAATTATTAGAAAAAATAAACGTAAGGTCATCAAAAAAGTCTGTGAATCTGGGCAATTATAAAATGAACTGTTCATTTTTTTTCGGGACAAAGGTACAAAAAAAATGTATCTCCAGTGTAACTTATTTTCTTTGAAAATAACGTTTTATCCTACAGAAAAAGTTGCTGTCAATGTAGTTCAGTTCAGGGACTTGATGTTATTCTGCCAGGACAGTTCTGCAACAACTTTAGGAGTTTACAGGCCAGCTCCACTGAAAATAAGATCATAACCATGCCTTGGTTGCTGCCAGGAAATGATGCTGCCAGGAAATGATATAAGTTAAAACTCAGAACCTAAGATTTTCATTCTATAAACAACATTTTCACACTTCACAATATGTGGCAAAGAGAAACACAAAAACAGAACAAAGCACTGCCCTAAATGAGTACTTGGAGAGGCAGGTAAAATTCAGTTTTTAAACAACTACTATCCCAGAGAATTTTTTGGCGGGGGGGGGGGGGGGGGGGGGGAAGAGCTCAGCTACGAAGTGATCTTCCTTTTGCCCCCCACCCCGCCTTTGCCCTGCTTACTTAGTCCAACATCGCCTTCCTCTTGGTCCAACTCATTTGGGGGCTGATGGTGGAAGATGCGGTTGATGAGGAGCCCAATGTGGCTCAGGAGGATGAAAGGTGGAGGCAGCCATGGCTTCTCATGGTAGGTCATAATGTAGCGGTAACGATTGTACTTCCAGAGCTTGTTTGATATGGATTTCAAATCGAAATAAACATTACTGAGAAGAGAGATAAAGGGGGAAGGGAGGTAAAACATTCCTATGAGAAATCTTTCCAGTATAGCATGTCTACAGAACTAATTTGACAAAGGCCCGTCCCTTCAGTCGGGTAAATCAGTTTAGCAACTTGCATTTAACAGAGCAGCAGCACATGCCTGCAGCTAGTGCACAGAGGATGAGATCTTCAAAGCTGCCTAAAAGATTTGGAGAACCAATTCCCACTCAAATTAATGGCAACTGGGCAAAAAATATCCCTGAAGTGGCTTTGAAAATCTCAGCCAGAGTATTTAAACTATAATATGTAGCCTTTCTGGGAACTCAGCATTGTCTGCTGGTCTGAACCAGATTAAATGAATAAGTCAGGCTAAAGGAAGCGTGTTAACAAACCGGTCCTGCTGTTCTTCAGAGCACTCTCCCCAAAATAAAACAACTGCTGCAAGAGGTAGCTGCAAAGGCAGTTCTTGGGCAGGGTGCTTTTTGCATGAATTATACTAAATTTGACTCTGCTGCAGCACCTAACAATTTCCCATACTATCATAGCTCCTCCAGTTCAGGTAAGCAACTTTGTGTTTTCTGGTGCTTTAATTTCAATAGAAATCCTACCTGAGTCCTTCACGCCCAACATATAATTACAAAAACACCAGCTTTGCTTCTAGGAGCATAACTAAACCTATTACTAATACTCGTTTTTGGTATCACTTCTAGAAGAATCAAATGACTAAGCAGAAGGTTTAACATGTCATTATTGTGCAAGGTCTAAATCTAGAAATAATTCAAATTACAATTTCACATCTGTGTATTAAAAAACTATAATGTCACAATTTCAAGAAAGGGATTTCTAATTTGAAATGGGAATAGAATGAAATTTTATCATTCAGTTCTCTTTAATATTAATCATTACATTTCTTCATTTGAATTTTTTTAAATTTAAAGCTGAATTTTCTTCCTTAGAAATACTAGAACTCTAGGGCAAAAATAATCTTGGATTAGTTTGTTTTCTGCTAATACTTGTATACATTGTTCTTTAGCATCAACATATTTGGGACAAACTTAATCTACTGCAGTGGAAATATTTTCAGGGAGTCCTTCTTAAAAGTGAAAAGGTTGGGTTTTCTACCAAGTTATCAATAAAACACTACTATTCTGGGAGCAGACATTTAAAAGAGGAGATTTAAAACCACTGCAGTAAATTTCAGTTCTATAACACATCAGCTTGTATCAAACAACAAGCATTTTGAAGTTATTTATGAGATGAAGAGCATGCCCCTAACAAAGGGGCAAAACATTACACACACACCCTTCCCTCAAATGTCTCCTCAACTCACCTGCCAGTTTAAATACTTTAAGGTGTTTCTTTGTTATGAATCTTATGATGTACATTATGTAGTCAGTCAACGCAAGAAGGATAAATTTTAGGAATGAAGAATGAATTACATCAGAGCTAAATTAATATGATTGTTTGCCAAGGGGAGTTGTTTCTTTCCTTCATCACACTGCATGTTCAGATTCTGCTTAAATGGCAAAACAGCTTATCCCCTTCCTCTCACAGTCCTACTAGATCCATTTTTCTTTTATTCGCTTGAACCCCTTGAAAGATGGGGTAGCAAACCCTCATCAGCATGCCTCTCACAGAGCCTGTGGAGCACACTTGCACAAGTGTTGATGGATCACCTACTAGCTGGCTTTGCTTTTGCAGGAATATGACATGGTACCTACTTAAAGAAAGCTATGAGCAAGTTGACCATGATGATGTACTGCACAAAGAGGTACACAGCTTGGAGGAACGGCGTAAGGAAGGAGCCAGGAGGACAGTTTTGGTCGGATTCACAGACTGAAAGTAAAGGACACACAGACCACAGTTAGCAAGGACATCAGCCAAGCAATGGTAGGGACTCCATATTTGCACCATTAAGAAACATCACAGCCCCAGTTAACAGCCATAGAGTTATGTTGCTTAATTTCTGACTAAAGGGTCTATCTCCACCTAAATGAGATGAACTAAGGCTTCTTCACGACACTGCTGTCCCACACTTTCCACTGCAATAGGAAAACTTTAGAGGCAATTTCTTAAACATCATTTCTTATACCAATGGACTTCTTGTTAAGGGGAAATGATGTAACTGAAATATATGTTGGAAATGGCACACACTCAAGAAAATTGAAATCCAAATCATCCGTTATTAAAGCAAGTAATAAAACTTTCAGCAGCTCCACTGTGGAAATGATAAGGCCACAGGCCTGCTTCTTCAAAGCTGGAGTATGATTCCTGTGTATCTTCCATTAGATCATATGAACATGTGTGCAAATGGATATATGCCTATGAAAATTTGTGAGAAGTTGCAACATTTCGTAGAAACTAAGGAATCCCTCTTCATATCCTTAAATTGCCAAAATACTTTTAATTTTTGTCTTTGATGAAATTCAAAATATACATATATATAAAATATATATACTATATATATACATAAAGCAGTACATACATAATATATATACATAAATCAGTAGCCCTAAATGCAGACAAAATTCTGAAACAGAGTCATTAAAGAAATCATTCTTTTATTTGAGACATTTCAAAATTTTTAAGGTTTAGCACTAATAAGTGATTAAAAGGATTAAACTGTGAGATTTCACAGTGTCCTTTTATTAAAAATATTTTGACTCTGAAAAATATTTCTCATAATGAAGATACATAGTCACCATGGGATTGTTTCACATACATATATATAGTGTATGTATCTATATATAGTATCAGCAACAATAATGGATGCAACAAGCTTTATTATATAAATGAATCAGACCAAAACCAAGCTATATAACTTAAATATCTGTATCTGTTTGTCTTATTTTCTGTTTTACTTGTAGCCACCACTAAGCAGTATCTGAGTACCTTCTTTTTAATTTTCATTCATTTTAAACAAAGAAGCTAACATTTTCACCTTATTCATACAGTATTAAACCACTTAAGACCATGCATACTGGAATGAAAATCATTTGAGTAAGAATAGATTCAATACGAGGTCCACGCTTTAAATAACAACATTTAAACACATGCTAAATTTAAGTTTGCAGTCTGTCTTGTGAAAATTACCTACCATCTATTTCTCCAGCATAGACTTCACCAAATATCATCCAGTAGGGTTGAAACACAATATCTCGTGCCAGAGACCATGAAGGAGGCTCCTCTGGTGAAAGAATTGCCTTTCGTGACACTCCAAAACTCAAGAGGACTATGGCCATCATGATCACAATGTAGAACATGTTTGCTGTCTGCATGGAAAAATCATGTTAATTATGTGTAAAGGAGATATACCACTTTAGGGAGACGAATCAATCACAGATGCTACGTATAGGGATAAAAAAAATGTAAATAATCTAATCTACTAGAAGAAAGAAAACTGTTCTATCATTAACCAGATTACCTACATGTTCTCACAAGATCAATTCATTCTGGACAATAAAGTCCGCAGGTCATGATCACTTACAACCCTTTTAAGGTCTTAAGTGGGATTTGAATAATGCAGAGACTTCTGCTGGTTCTTTTCTTTGGTTGTAAGTTCTTCAAAACAGAGAGCAAGGAATATGAGGGAAAATAATTTCATGTTCTACCACTGAACCAGAATTACTACGCAAGACAGAATATAAAAGTATTAATAAGATAGTTCCCAATAATTGAGGGAAATTACAGAGGGAATCTGTAAATATCCCTCAAGAGTAGGCAGCAGTTCAGCAACAGTTTTGACACCAAAAGAAAAAAAAACTTTGATCTCAGAGAAATTTTGTCTGCTAAAAATGGGGTATAATTATTTGAATCAAAATGTGAAATGAGCTATGGGAATTATGTATAGTTGTGAGCCCGTCTGTTAGAGACAGAGATTTTTCTTCCTCCTATTGTGAAGCCTGATCAGAAACTCAAATCAAATGCAATCCTTCTCTAAGGAACTAAATGAAAATGGCTTTTGTGAATAAATTCAAGTTATGAATTAATTAGAGAGAACTGAAATCTGAACATAACTCACAAAAACAGAAAGAATGGTAGTAATGCAAGTAATATATTTGCTATGATATATGCTTATTAGGTCACCTCTCGTTTGGCCTCCATTCTTTTCTGGGTTTATTTCTGACCTTTACAAGTTCCTCGATAAATGCTGCAGCTACAAAGATGTTTTTCGTGAGTGTTATACTTACCATTTTCCCAATCATTGTCAGGTATGGGCCAGCATGTTGATTCACAGCAAAAAGATCAAGGAGCCGTGCGTACCAAAATATTATATCCAAGCAGTAAAGTAGTCGCCCTGCTGTTTGAACAGGTGGGGTGAACCAGCGCAAGGCAAAACCAATCATAAACAGAATGATAGCTATAGAATCAGTAAAATTCCAGTATTCATAAATCCACACCTTCACTTTTTGACTGAATTTTCCAGTCTCTGACATGAACACCTGAGCGGAACATGGAAAAAAACAATAGAAGCTCCATTAAAATCACAGATACATTCTTTAAAATCCTTCTATCTGAATAGTTTCATGATATTATCTCCTGAGATTTGTATTGAAGCTGTAATGTCCTAATGCTCAAGTAAATAGAATAGATCTTTCTAAGGAAAAATTTACTACTGAACCCACTCACCGAAAAGCACATTCCTCAGCTGAAAGGCGCAGGCAATACAGAACTGTTATGCATACGTATTGTTATAAATTAGTATTTTCTAGAGGAATGGTCATGACCTGCAATAGCTATTTGAAAAGCCCCTAAGTCATGGAAAATGCCAATCTAACCTTGCTGACAGGAAAATAATGAATGCATCTTACTTTAGACTGAAAATACAAAGCAAGATCCTTGCATTTTGCCAAGGACACGCTAAAAAAAGGAACACAGGCAACTAACAAGGTAAAGAATGAAATGTTCGCTCCTTGAACTCTTGAGGTGCCCCGAGGGGATTTAAAGCTTCACTGAGCAAATGTGTGAAGTGGAATCTTTGGGAGGTCGTAAATAAAACCTTTACACATTGCGTGAGTGAGGCCAATTATGCAATGCTATGTAAGATCACACCGATAAGTAGCAAATGAAAGAGGTTTTGAAATGTTATGCCCTGATCCTGCAAGAATTTACGCACAGGAACACATTTGCACGAACAACTGATCCGTCTGAACTCAACTGGACTAACCCACATGAATAGCTGGTTGCAAACACCTAAAAAAAGCCTTTAACAATTACTTGATACAATCTAGGGAAATATGGGCTTGCAATCACATATAGGAAGGCCCTCGGCAGTTAATTAGCTGCACATGTTAGACACCATGCCCTACGAAGTCTTTTCTACGAGTCTGCAACTAGCACATGGACAAAGAAACACATGTAGGAGACATCAACTTCCAGGTATCCAGTTAATGATAGAAAGAAGATGCTGATCAACAGGATGCAATAGCATAGCAGGGATCTCCAAAGCAATTGCTACTGCAGATCCAGTTTTACTCTCAGTGAAACAGTCCCTGGGTATATATTTTTTTCAATTTTGTCTGCTGCAGCCACAGAACTTCCACAATCCACCAAGATTTCTGCTGCCCCTTAGAATACTTTACTTCTATTGCAGATTTCACACTCTTCTGAGTGATATATTTTAACAGCATACTTCCCTCAGAACTGATTTTTTTCAGTGTTTTCCTAAAAGTACAGTACTACAAAAATCATATAAAAATACCTCACAATACTGTTGATTATTATGTGCCAATTCCACACTGAAGGTATGTTTGATCAGATAAAATAATTTTGGAAATACATAGATGCCTGGCCTCAGCTTTGTAGTGCAAGGTGGGTTCAGAAACTCAGATTTAATCAACCGCAGTTAAGGTGTTTAATTTTAACAGATCACTGTATTTTTTCCCTGTTCAGCTAGTACATCATTAAAATTTGATGGAGTTTTTCTGATCTTGTTTCTAGGTGGTCAGATGGACTTGTTGGGGACACCTAGTATATCTTGTATGTAATATCTGTTAATTGACAACATCTAAAGACAATTTCTGGTAAGATTAATGGTCTATGCCGAAAAATTAAGAAACTGATGCCAACATCAAGGGTCCAACACCCCACTTTAGCACTATGACTTTCAAATAACTTGCACACTTTTCAAAAACTTTGAAAAACTTTTTTTGGAAAACCCCAGTAGTTGTCTTTAAGTAAACAAACATTGTACATATTTTTTCCCATGCCTTGCAAAATTCACTGCAAGAAGACTTACCTCCCTGACTTTTTCTATGGCAGTACTGAAAATGTAAATAATAACAAGCCACTCTTGCACACTAGGTCTCGGTTCCATCTTTACCAACACGATGTATGTGAAGAGCATGAGAAAAGCCATGTACGCCATCTACAAAACAATACTACATGTTCCAGATGCACAGAGAGCTGCAACAAAAAACCAGCAGATATCTGCAAACATGTTAACAAGTATTTCACCTGAGAAAATGCCCTCAAATTACTGGGACACTATCAAATTTTTGAACCAAAAATCTTTCCTCAAGCTGTCCAAAGCTGTTGATAAACATGATTTGAAAGTTGGCACTTCAGTGCTTAAAAAATAAAGCAGAAGATGATACTAAGCGGCATGCAGTGCATATCCACTTTGGACCTTGGCCAAAACCTTTTAAAGGAATAACAGTTTATTCACATTGAAATCTTAAAGATCACAGATTCTGCTGATACAGGGTTTGTTGAAGAAAATGATTTCATAAATCCATATTTCTCTATAGTAAACTATAACATATATCAAAATTAACTCCTTCAAGAAACAGCTTCTAAAGAAAGGGACAAGAATATGTGTGAAATTTTATCTTTTTAAGGTCAGATCAAGTTTATCTCTACAGATCCAATTAACTACTGGGAAAAAAAACTGTCCTGGGATTTTATTTTAGTCCTCTGTCATCAGATTTTTTTATTGCAGCACAATACTGTCTGAAAAAAAATGTTGTGAGGAAAAAATTCAAATGTCTTCCCTTCAACTTCCTGTAAAATAGTATTAGACAAAGTAAATGTAATCTCTAGTAACATTGAAAGCTTTAAAAGAGGACTTCAGCAGTTTGAGTTCCAGTGCAATGACCAACCGTGTGAAACCAGAACTTGACAATTGGAGCATTGTAGAATTCATAGATTTTTCTAGTTCCAGGAAGGTTTCCTTGACCACTGTCCACCTGGCTTTCATCAGACTTCTGAGGCGCGGTCTCCACATCATAATCCTTTTTAAGAGGAAACAGCATTTTAAAAGCAAGAAAACATGGTCTGTGATTGTAAAAGTTGTGTCATGTTAGCAGGAAGGCAGGCACAGACATTTAGGCCTTGTTCTAAAGATAGAAAGACCCTGATTTTGTCCCACTGCAAGCTCTCATTTGCAATAATTAACACACACTGTTCTGGTATAATCATTAGTTTGCTTTTGCAGTCAAAGGCATTGTACTAGGCATCAGTAGACTTCAACCCACTCCTACCTGTGACATAGATATTTTCTAAGTTTTATAAGAAGTGACTTAATCCCACTAATTTACCTTTCCTATCTGAAAAATAAGAATAAAACTCCCAGTGTGACAAAAGAGAGTCCAACGTAAGGGAAAAAGTGCCACAGTTCAGAGCACTGTAAAGACAAAATACAATCACACAGAAAATGTCAGGACAGTGAAATTATAAACATGCAATCCAATTGCTATTTTTGATGCATGCCTGATTAGAACATGATGAAGCAAATACTTTCTTACAAAAAGCCTTACAAGGAGCCACATACCAAAAAAAAAAAAATACCCACACACAAAAAACCCTATTATCTCCAACAACAAAAAAAAAAAGAAAAAAGAAAGAAAAAAACATACTTGATTCCACATCCAGAGTTTAACACTTTTCTGAGTACTGAAGGTATAAATATGTGAGGTTCAGCTGAACCTTAAGGAAAGCTGCAGATCCACAGCAATGGGCAAACAAGAAAACCAAGTGCTACTGCAGGGGGTTCTGGGAAATGGAGGAGCAAAGGCCTATCAACAGCTCATAGTTGGCCCAGCTAACAAATCTACTGGGCCTAGCTTTCTTTTAGGATTGGTCAACGGCCTTGTCAAGTAGCAGTGCTAAAATCTACTGCTAGTAGACATCATTTTTTTATGATGTCTACTAGCATTTTTCTTGAAACATGGAGGCTTATTCTTAATATGCAACATCTCCCCAGGTAACTTCGAGAAAACTGCAATTTTTGCATCACCTTAACTTCAGAAGTGTGTTAAAAAGAGAGAATTTGATATACAGAATGAACATTGGATTCTCCGAGTGAAGGGGAGAATTTGTTTTGAGAGCAAGTGTGATTTCCAGCCACAGTAGGTCAGTTTGACTGTGGCATGTAGAACATATACAGTGTTGAAATTCCCCTTTTTTTTTTTTTTTTACTGCATTTCTTGTTGCAATATTTAAGAAGCAGCAGCTCAGCCTTATATTTTAAACACCATTCTACACTACATAAAACAAGAAGTGAACCTTACTGCTGGGTCAGAAAGGAAGCACCTCTGTCTGAGGCAGGTCAGACAAACATTTACACACATTGCTTTTCTTCCTTTCTTCCAGACTGCAGGGAATCCCTGCTACAAATAATTATAATTGGCCTCTCCTCTGTATCATAGCTGCTACCTAACACCACAGAAAACCTTTTTGAACTGACTATATTAGACAGGCACTGCAGGAGCTCAGTGCTTCAAGCATTATTCTGCATCAGAGGGAGAAAATGCAGGTGTGGTATCGACAGGCTGGCACTGCTGGGAATTTCCTCAAGAACTATCCACTTGCTTTTGTTTTACACAAACTGAAATCTAATGGAGAAGGTCCCAAGCCATCCACAAAGCTTATCGGCTGCAGGCAGAGCAGGCAGGATTGCCTGACACCTCTCACTTGACAATTCTGCTTTCACTTGGTTAGGGCTTCACCCACATTTGCCTATTTGGATGGAAATTCTCTGTGTCTGCTGCAGGCCTCAGATACAAAACTTTTGGAAATTTTCAGTCCTGAAGACACTTTTGTAGAGAATGAGGAAAATGACAGGTACTTAACTCTGCTTAGCAGAAATCTGGAGGAATTCAGTTCTTAAAAGGCCAAGATTTCACCTATGCTGGTGACTATGCAGAGTCAGGCTTAAGAAGGACTTTTTCAACAACTGCAGCTCCCTGCAGAGTGTTTCAGGTTTCAGCTCAGGTAATTAAATCAAAAGCAGAACGAACCTCCTGTGATTTAAATGATGTCTTTACTAGGCTTCAAAAATCCTGCAGTAGAGATTCTCTTCTTTTGAACAAGGAGGTCAGGAGCTTCGCCTCTGGAAGGGTTGTGACATAATTTGGTACAGATATCTCAAGGAAAGATTAATAATGAAAGATGGGAATGGAGAGGGGGAGAGAGGGTAAGTGCCAGTATGCAGAGGCTGTTGGCTGAGCAGAATGGAAGTAAAAGTGATGTGGAGAGGCATGGAATGCCTTTTTCACTCTTAGATATTCTCTGTGCTGGCTTTTCCCTACTTTGGAATGCTTGACTGTGCAAACTGAATCAAGTTTTATAGATGCAATTTTGTATGATATGAAACCATCGTCAGATTAAACAGATACAGGTTACATATATATTTATCTGTATCGTCAGTAGACCGTATACCCTGTAATGCTTGCATAACCAAAGTAAACGATAACCTTGTTACACTCCTGTAAACTGTTAAGTCAGGAAAAATATTCTCAGTGTATTACAAATGGGAAAGAGACACTCAGGTCAGATGAAGTGATTTGTCCAATACAGCACATGGAGTCTGCATCTGAATCAGGGATTGAAGACCTATTTCCTGAGATGCAGGTCCTGACATTTCCAGGTGATGCCCTCCCTTCGGAAGTATACTGTGGTAAAGGAACACACTGACACAAATTACCAGTCACTGCAGACTAACCAGGGACAAGGTATCTTTAGGGCTAGGTGGGCTCTCATCCGCATGGTACCATGTGAATTGATGGAAGTCTTGGGACTGAGGCACATGAGACATTTCTGCTTTGCTTTTAAACTCCAGCATCAAGATGGTGGGAGGCAGAAGAATACTTATAATAACCTAAGAGAGAAACATAAGACTTAGTAAGTTATTTGGCACTAATAGCACTGACCTGTGGCCAAAGTCAGCTGTGCATGGTGCCAGCACAAACCCAAAGCAAAAATCCAGGCTTTGTACGAAGCTGAGGAGGCAAGAAATTCGATACCCCACTTTTACGGCCTCTAGAGAAGTGTGTTATACATTACTGTTGACTATTTTGTGGCTTTTGAGAGAGTTAGAGGTATCTGTGGATATTGCAGGTACCACTGTCCACATCAGCAGCACGATCATCCTGCCAGAAGGCCTGCCAGAGAAGCAGGTACTGCGGGGCAGTGCGGAGGGTGCTGAAGGAATAGAACAGATGAAGAAAGCTTTGAAGATGCATTCTCATCATATAACATCCAGCTATTTTCCCTTTCTCAAAAAAATAAAACAGCAGTAGGAACTGTCCTCCTTTGCCCTCTTCTCTTCCACAGATGTACATCAATTCCAATCCATGCCAAAGTATGTCTGTCTGAAGCTGCAGTAAATCAGTTCATAGCTATGGAGATATCTATAAAGCATCTAAACAGACAGGAAGAGCAAAAGCAAGAGATGTACCTTAAACCAGGAGTTCTTCCTCATCTTCAGGCGTCCCATCCACATATCAGTCAGCAGCATCTGCGTGCAGGTATGGGATACAAAAGGCCGCAGTCCCACAGACACTGCCAGCTTTAAGCAAGTTGAGTTGCTCCAGTTTTTCAGTTCGTAGGTCAGCAACTTCATAGCCATCTGCTCATTTTGTTTGAATGCCTTCTCCAGCACATCTAAGGCAAGCTGTCCAAATTCTCTACAGCATCAAAGAAGTAATATTCAATATAAAAGGTTTCAATCAGAACTCAAAATTACTGGTGCATAGAGGTTGTTTTGAAAGCTCTGTTCAACAATTACATGACTTCTATGATTTTTCCCACTTCTTTATCAATATACCCAGAAAATATAACTCAGAGAATGTCTAAATATTTACTCCTCTTCACAAGATTTAGTGTGATCCTAATTTGTGTTTCTGAGATTGATTTGGCTTTCTCCAAAACCTGTTTCTGTGATCAAAATGGACCCTGTAAAGAGCAGTGTATTTCCTTTGACAACAGACATGCTGTGACTGTGAACAGCAAGAGCAACTCTCTTTCTTTTACACTGGTTCTTACACATCTTTTTTGGAGAGTCTGCTCAGTGAAGATATGCCTTCTTTTAAAAGGATCTTTGGAGCTCTGTGCAAAACAAGACAGAACATCTTATTGCACTCTGAATCTGAGGCATTGTGATTATGAAAACATACAATAGGTCATAACAGAAAAAAAAAAGAAAAAAAAAACAAAAAGGAAAGGAAAATGAAATTACAGACTTTAAAAAAACTTCCAGGTCATTTTTTTCAGCCAGATATTCTAGTGTATTTTTTCTTTATATCTTATGCAAAACAGGACTCTAGTCTGTCCATTAGCATTCACAGCATGTTTGAGAAATTCAACACAGGTATACCATATGACTTTTTATCACATTAAATTGGTAAGCAAAGCTCTAAGGGAGAATTCTATATTCTATTTGACCTTTTCATTATTAGTGTTCCCTAAATCTCCATGAGGCTGTGCAGCCCCATTATACACTATAAATGCTGGATTGCTGAAAGTATTGTTTTTATACTCTGTGGCACCTCAAATCTGACAAGCTCTTAGTGGTTTAGAAAAATGTCTAACCATGCTAAGCGCTGCAGATCTTTATTAATTGAAGGGAAGGGAGAACTCATACTTTGAGTACTTCTTAAGCTCCTCTGAAGTGTCATCCACCATGTTGCTTTGCTTAGCTTCACGTGCCATTGCCCGGTAGAGTTTGCAAGCCACAACAGCCTTGACCATCGCTTCCTCTCCATGCTGCCAGAAGAACATTGCCATCTTCTGCCTCTTCATTAATACTGCCCAAACCAAGAGGTCATTATAGGGGTAAATAAAGCCAGATGTCTCACAGTCTTCTGCAAAATTTATAAACTCTTTTGACTTCTTCTTAGACTTGTGGAAAGCAGTGGGTCTTTCCTATAAATTTGTTTAAAGGATAGAAAATCTCAATGAACTGCTGAGATTCACATTCATGTGATTAAAATTGCATGCAGATTTGAATTATAAATATCAAATGGTTTGATCATTATATAGATGTAATTCCTAAACCATAGCTAGGATCACATTCAGATCATCAACTGTAAGAAGTTGCTTGCATCAGTGGAGTAAAAACACCCATTTCTCAGCAATCTGTACTCTTGACATTTGCAACCTGCATTGTTAATTAGTCTCCTATCCTCTTGACAGCAGAGTATTAATTTTTTATTATTTTCTTGCAGTTGCATCATGACAGGAGAGAAAAGCAATCTGTAGATAGAAATATGCAACAGACTTGTGATAATTAATGGTGATTTTTATTACTTCTGCCACATTTGTAATGTAAACTTGCTATGCATTCATGTCTAGATATTTCACCATTAAAGGGAAAGCAAAAGCCATCATCTCAGGTTTTCTCAGTGCTATAATGGATTCCATTTGGCTTAGAATAATTTCAATAAAGTCAGCTAAGTTCATTTAACTTTATGTTTTGTCTGACACATGAGAGTACAGGAGAACTTTGATTTTGAAAGGTCTTTACTTACAAACAAAATATTCTGTCATCCTTTTTCAGATAACAGAAGTATATCTCTGCTTAGAAGGCTTATTGTAACTACTTTAATAAGCAATCATGAGGCAGAGAATTCCTATTATTGCTTCCAAAAAGGAAGAATTTTTACCCATACTGTATGCTCAGACACTTTATATTATATGCTTAATGAATGAATGCTTTATCAACATGCAAATAGAAGTTTAAAAGTGTCCTGGGAGGAATCAGAGCTTGAATTCAACACTAAAATTGCAAGGCCTGTATTTCTTGAACAGTGCGAGGTAAAACACCTTTTCCATGGAATTTAAATTGAATTGTGGTAAATAACAAGCCTGAATAGCATACATAAATCTCTCTATAAACTGATTAGCACCATGATGTGACCAAAAGTAAGACTGGGATAAACAATTACATTACCTTGTATTTGTAAGGTTGTGCAGTTCTGAAGAACTGAGAATGCAAAGTATTTTCAGTGGATCCCATTTTGCTACTCATTTGATTACTCTGATGAAGGGAATGATGAGAGAGGCTCTGAGAAAAACTGGAAAGTACTCTCTAGATCCAAAAGTACACAACACAAAACACAAAAAGAGAAATGCAGATTAGGGATGAAGTTTACCTCTCTTTATCTCTGATTTCAACAGTGTCTGTGAAAATTTTTTGTTATCATTGTAATTATGGCTGGAGCTTATACTATCAAGGAAGCAATGGCCTGTATCCAATCTAAAATTAAGGAAGATATTTCTCTTAATCTCTAAAAGGCAAAATAGTGATTCCTCCAATAATTTTCTCCACTAAAAGGGCCTTGCATAACCAGAATGAAGTAACCTAATCTGGAACATTTTCTCAGGACTTACCTTTACCAAAATGGTCATAAATGCTTAAAGAAACAGAAGTTCTCTGAAACTTTTGCTTATCATTTCCTCAGAAGGGCAGCATATCTGACGTCCCAGAGCATTTTTTCTCAGTATTGTCTCAGGAGGAAGAACATTACAGGCTGCATCATTAACACTCATGTCCACATTCATATTCCAATTACAAGTCAGTGCAGTTTCACTCATCCCCTGCACAGTTTGTACTTCATGATGTAATGCACAAAGAGCATTACAGCAGCTCAAATATCACTTTTTAGGCACTATAATTAATCAATGATGCCTAGGAAACTCAATCGCAGCTTTTCTATTCACTCCAGGTTATAGTTTATTTTTTTTAATGCCATTTCTTCTAAAAACCACCAAATATTTCTGTCGGTCGTGGAAGTAAGACACTGGGATGAGGATATTTTTTGTTTTACAGAAGGAAATACTATGTTTTGCTGCAGTTTTACCATAATCAGAAGCACTGTAGTCTAGTTTTACTCTGAAAAGTGAAGAGAGAAGGTGAAATATGTCTCTGCAGTGAATCTACTCCTACTGTGACATGAGGATTAATAACTGAGTAATGTATTGAAAACTTCAAGCTGTTTTCAAGTTATCGATTTGGAAAATCAACAGGGGAAACAAGGGAACTGGTACCTTTGCTGGCCATCGCTCTGAGGTAGTTTCACTGAAGTTATTTGTTTGCAGAGGTGATACTAAGAGATTGCAGATATGATAAAAGACAGTGCCATATAGTGAACCACCTTCAGCACCCAGAAGGTGCAGAATAGCACATACAGAGAATGCAACTCACTGCTTGTAGAAACACTGCATCCGGGGTGCAGTCTGGCATAGCCAGCAGAGGACCTCCCAGAAGACAACCAGAGCTTTAAGAAAATACTGCCACCAGGCAAGCACAGTTCATGAGCCCAGGCTATTGCTGAACGGTTTCTAAAAGGCAAGATATTTGCTCAGAAGGTGAGTGAGGGATTTGCACTGTCTTTATTGTGCCATGCTGACATCCTCTCCTAGCCTAGTTCAAAACCTACTGAATTCAATGACTTTTCCATGACTTACTTAGCTAGAGACCCAGAAGCAGAAACAGCATTCAGAAATGTGGAAATATTGGTTAGTACAGAACTGAAGATCTTTATTGATGAATTCCAGAGGAAAGACTGCAACCCGTCTATCAGACAAAAAGGGGAGCCTGTTGAACTAACAGTTACTGTTAAGTCACCAATAGTCTTCTGAAGGGTAGTAATATGGTGGAGATTTGTCTGGTTTATTGGGAAGTTTATCACAGCTAACTAATAAATCCACAAAAGAGACTAGGCATGTAATATATTTAACTAACACTTTTCAGTCAAACCACCATGATAACCTGAGCTGTTTTTAGATCTCGTGTTTTGGCTTTCCTTGGTGATCAGTGGTGGCCATTTTGTATATGTTACCTTGTGTTTTCTGTAGGGATCATTGTACAGGATTCTGAAATGTTTCCTTGTGTAGCTGCTCCGATAAGCTCCACCAAGGAGGTACTCTATCACCAGCCCAATATCAATCAGCGATATCTTGTAATCCAATGGAATGGTATTCTGAAACAGCAAATGTCACAAGATTTTTCAATGCTACTTCATGCAGCATCCAACGATGTAAGCATTTGGTAGTGCTGTTCAAATGTTCACAAGACAATTCACACAGTGAAGGAAGACAGGGTAACTTGCTCTAAGTGTCCTTTCTTAAGCAGGAGGGTGGATTAGATTACCTCTGAAGGTCCCTTCCAACCTCAACCATTCTGTGGCTCTGTGAAGACTAGCTGTATTCAGCTGCATTCAGTAAGGGTGATGATCCATCAATAAAACCACCAACAGCTAGGCCTGTTGAAGAGAGTGTTGTTTCTCTGGTAACAAGAGAAGCCTATCATAGTAAGACTTTTTCATTAAGCCTAATTATTGCTTAATCATAAATGAATGAAATGTATATGAAACATATTTATATGTTTTATAATTCCTGAAGAGATGTGGTCTCTTGTAAGAGTTTCATGGCAACTAGGACAGAATCTGTGTTTACATTACCTAGACCTTCAGCACCTCCACAGAAAGCACCATTGCTTCCCAGTTTTTCCCTGTTGTGATTCCAGGGCATGAGTATTGGACAAATTCTCTGATAAATATCTACATTCCAACTTTAAATTGTAGAAAATTTTGAACTTTGGAAATCTTTAAACTGTAACTTTTGGAAGTGAAAAAAAAAAAAAAAAAAAAAAAGGCCTGGGCATGGACAAGACCAGAGGTGTTACATGGTCCCATCAGCCTCTCCCTTTCAAACTGTGAAAAGCCATTTTCTTCATTAGCCAGAGCTTTTCTCAACAGACTTTTGAGACAGCTCTCAGTCCAACCAACTAATGAAATCCAGCCCAGGGGAATGTTGCAAAAAGCAGTCTCACAGGAGGCAGCTTACCAGCCCTGGTGTTCAGAGTTAAACACATATTTTTGTCCACCTATAGGTATAGATGCTTCTCTTCACCCATATGTGTCTACCCAAACACTAAGTATCAGCAGTACTGGTCATAGTATTGCAGATTATGTCCTAAAATTCAGGCTCATTATTCTCTGGTGAGTGTCCTAGCCACTGTATTATCATTTAAAAAGACTGTGACTGCACAGCCTGTGCACACATCACTCACACATACTTACAGAAGCTTAGGTGTGAAAGTCAACATTTAGACCCATCACTAGGTCCCAGGTGAATCTATCTTAGCCACTGCAGTGGAAAATTTTTAAATTATTCATCCTCATTCCACCAAAATCCTGTTATTCTATTTCAGGTGTCCCTTCAAATCACATGCTGTGACCTCCCAAAATGTCCTAGGAGGTAACCAAATCAAGGGTTTTAAGAAGCAGGATCATATCAAGGAGCTCATTGCTTCAATCCGAATGAGAAAGAGAGACTCCTCAGCCTGAAAAACCTGAATGTATTATCAGTACAGAGGTATTTCAGGTTCATCACATAAATTAGCCTCCAGAGATGCCCATTAGTATAGGACAGCACAGAAAATATCTTGCTGGAAAGATCAGAATACCCTTGCACTCATCACAGCAGCATCAGTGAGATAGGCATTAACAACCACAATATGAAAATCATACCAAAAATACCAGTACTTGATAGCATACAACTCTGCGAACACTCAGATTGCCATTTTGTTTTATATCAGTATTCACACCCCAGGAAGAATTACTCTACTAATCTAGTTTTGAATGTGGGTATCTGCTATAGTGGAGACTAAATGCACAAAGAACAACTCATACCTTCCTGAGCAATCAAGGCTGGGGTTTGCAGCAGATAACACAAGTATGAAACAAATTAATTGCGTAGCTAAATATCTAGGCTGCCTTTGCACTACTAATGCAGCCAACGCTCCATGCAGTAGTCATCCACTGCCACCTTCTGTTCTCCCAGGTATTGCAGCACACAAAAAAGTACTGCATCTTGTCACAGTGTCTTTCTGCCACTGCTCAACAAGGAAAGGCTTTTCTAGCTTTGGGAGAAGGGAAGAGAAGGCAAGGCAAGGCAAGGCAAGGCAAGGCAAGGCAAGAAAAACATTAAAGCAGTGAGCATAATTACTGCTCTAATTTGCTAAGCCCTTTGTACAATCACTGCATAATGTCACTTTGGTAACTTGAGAAAGAGACAGTCTCATCTACACAAACTCTCTAGCTTTCAGATTGAGGTATGGTGCTCTTGGGAGCATTCAGTGGTTAGTTAATTGCTTGAAAGGACTAGCAGTATGAAGATGAACCACCAGATATGGGAGTGTGGTAACAAACACCTCACTTTTATTCCTAAACACTCTCCAGTATCATCTAATAGTAGTGTGCTGCTGGACAGTGGAGATTTAAGATCATTATTTTCTCTTCAGATTTTTCTATGTATATTACCTGCTTCACATCTCGAATAAGGTGGTGCAGCAGTAGATTTATTGGTCCTTGTTTCTGTGATATGAAAGAAGAGAATGAATGAACATATTCTATTCTTGAAAATCAAAATGGTAAAAGAAAGCTAAAATAATAAGCCTCTGTTATTCAAGGTCTTAACCTCATAAGCCTCTTAAGAATCATTTACACACCAATCTGCATTTATTTGATGTTAAACATGGACATATTTTTAAAACCATTTGATAACACCTTGGTTAAACAGCAGACCATTTTCAGCAAGATAAGTGTAAGTCAGAAATTGAATTAAAAACAAAATACATTTTTCATGAGATTCATTTGTGTACTCTGTCTGGTTCAGATTCAATGAGTTCAAAAATAAAAAGCTAGGACTACAATCCAAAAATCTAACTTTACAATGAAAACTCATCAAAAAAGTTCATTTTCATTTTTTTTTCAAAAGTCCTTCTTTAAGATGTGTCCTTACTATCTAATTGTTTAAGGAAAATATTCTCTCCACACATTCATATCTGCAGGTTATGTGTGTGCCATTCTGTATGCCTGTATTTCAAACACTCACTGTATTGTAAAGCTCTTCCAGTCGAGATATAGTAAGAAAACGATGCATATTCACTCCATGCTCTATTAACAGTTTCACAAAATCTACACGGTCCATCACTAGAGCATCCAGCATTGCTTGCTCCAAGGCACCAACCTCCAGAAGGACAAGAATAAGAGGAAAAAAAATAAAAAAGGAAAAAAACATTACTTTCTTTTGGAAATAAAATAGTTTTGTTTAAAGTGTACATTCCAAAATAAAAAATATGCTGCAAGAGGCATTTGCATAAGAAAGAGAGGAGGAGAGAAAATGACTCTCATCAAATCACAGACTCAGCATCTGTGAAGACTTCTACTAATCTAACTTTGCAGTCAGTCTCCAACAATACATTTCCAAGTCACCTGGAACTTACAATTCCAACTCACAATTTCACTTTAGAAGCTAATATATGAAAATGGGGAGAAAAAAAAAAAAACTTTCTTTTTTGACATATGACAAAAATCAATTCAAGGTACTGTATTTCAGGATCTTCCTATAGGACTTGAAATTCTTTAATGTAGATATCTTTTCAAATATGATAAAGGATCTGTGTTAGGATACTCTCTGAAAGTCACTTCAAAGAAGAGTTCTACCTACGACAGTATCAAATTGGAGAAGCACTGCAGTCATGGTACTTGTATAGAGCTTAACAGGCTTTCTCAATGCAAAATAGCAAAGGAGTTGGGAACATGGTGAACTATGACAGCAAAAGAAGATAAAATTTCTGCAGGATACTCGAGTTCAGTAGATGCAGCTGATGTGAAACGTGAGAATCTTGGCATAAAACCCAGGCAGGTGTCAGCACTAACTTGGTATGTAAAGTTGGCTCTTTATGTGTGCATTTGTGTAATGTGGATTTTTGCAATATTAAAAGATCAGTAAACATTACAGAAGGGTCATGTGTCAAAAGAAATTCTGCACAACACCGCTGAATTATCGATGTTTCTCTCAGAACTAAGTGGCCCTTCCTAGATTAAATTTCCTTGAGCAGTCAGTCATTCCTTGGGCTGCCAGTGTGTTCTAAAGAGGTTTAAAGTGGTAACTACAATAACGAAATTCTTTGTTGCAAAGCCCATTTGACACTGAGCTGACATTTTAGCAGAAACATAGTATCAGCTGATTAAAATCCTTACCAAATGATTTTTTAGGATCAGAGCTCTAAGAAGAAATGTCTACAATCAGCATATAATCCTGTATGTTTCCTAGATATACTTAATTACATAACAAAAATTATCAAGAGAGCATGCGACAACAGTCTCTTGCTGATTGCTGCTTACGCACCTATTTATTTCAAAAAACTTAAACACAGGCCACTACAGCCATGCAGGCAATATAGACCTTCAGATTGGTACACAGGTACAGGAGGGAGCTGCTACTTGTTAATTAAGAATTCAACTAAGTCAAAAAAAGGAGCTTTAGAATTGTTAGAATTAGAATTTTGTTTTGTTTTATTTTGCTTCTTTACAGTGTATGAAAAAATCTTATGTAAGACCTTTTCCTCCTTAACAGAGAAAAAAAAAATGGAATATATACCTTTGCAGTTTTTGCTTGGAGAAGCAATGATAGATGTAAGAATTGTTTATTATGGGCTCTTTACATCTCACTTGAAGGGGAGGAGATATTCTAGCCTTTTTCATTCAAAATAGATAAGAACAAGTACAAAGATCTTTTCTGAGCACATCAGAAACAGAGGAAGGGGAGCAGTGGGACTGCCGGTGAATCTGTAAGGTTGAAAGATGATCAAGGTATAAAAGAAACACTCAAGGAGGTGAGGCTATTGCAGAAATCATAAGTTAATTCTTTGCCTCACTGCTCACTACAGAATATGTCAGGAAAGTTCCTACATCAAAGCTCTTCTTTATGGCATACAAATCTGAGGAACTGTGTCAAATTGAAATGTCTGTAGAAAAGATTTCAGAAGTCATCAGTAAAGTAGTAGCAAATTGTGGGGACCAGGTGGTGAAACTCCACATTGCTAAGTGTAAAATAATGTGTATTGGTGTAACAACCCAGTCTGTGCAACATCAGTCTTGAAATTAATTCAGAAATGGTGTTAGTGGACCCATCTTATGAAAACATTAATACAATTTCAGTACTAGTTAAATAGACATAAACACTAATATGTTTCCTTCTCAGATGGCTACAGAATAATGTATGAGATATAGAAGATGACATACTAATGTACATAACTAAATAAATCAGTGGAGAACCCAGGATTTTGACTACTAGGTGCAGTGTTTGTGAGCCCATGTCCCCAAAAAGGGACTTTAAGATCTGGAAGAAGTATGCAGATTGTCAGAGATAACAAGAAATGAAACAGCTTAGTGATTTGAAAAAGGTGGGAGTGAAGGTGTATTATGAAACAGTTCTCCAAAATCTTCATTGTCACGGTGGTGGAGAAAGGGAAACTGTCATTCATTATTCCAGCACTACAAGAACCAGAAGCATCAAATTATCAGATAGCAAAAAAGAAAAATCCACCAATATTTAAAATCCTCATTTAAGAGTCACACTAGTTCATCATTCAAAGTACCTTCACCCGCCTCCATAGCAGCTATATTTTTCATGAAAATGGATACCAAAGAAGGATGCTGATTCACAGACCTTGTCAAAATATATCTTCAATGATCAAGAATGGCAAAAGCTCAGTACTTCTGACTTACTGTAACAGGATAGATATTTGGACAGTAAGGAATAGAGAGAACTCTCTTTTTTAGTGTCTTACACAGGCTGTGCTTTAATAAAAAGCTTTAATAAAAGCCTATCTACAGTTGACAGCTGAATTGTTAAAGACGAATGAATGTAAATAAAAAAAATTACAAGCTATAAACCAACTAGTGAAAGAGGACATTGAGAAAAATATATTCTCTTTAAAGAGTCAAAACATAATAGCATATTAAAATAGATTTCTTAAAGGTAAATATATGAATACATTTTGATTTGTAAATATATCTTTCTCGTATGAAAACAAAGGTCTGTGTTACATGAATGAAGTTGCTGAAGTCATGAGGTCAAGCACTCACAAGTTATCAGCTATTTCACCATAATGAATAACAGCACAATTATTCATTGCACAATCATATACTGTGTTTCTCCACTGGGCTCCACTATAACCAGTTCACAGATTGCACGATGCTCACTTAACAAGCAGACAATTCACCATTTGGTTCCTGCTTTATTGTTCCCAGCGTGGCACATCCCTTGTGTTTCACACACCTCTCAAATCCTGAAATGGAAATTGGCAAATCCCTTCTGGACTTCTCAGAGGGTGCTCAACACCTTTTGTTTTTAACATTTAAGATTTCTTCATGAGAACATGTTACATCATCTCCATTGCAGAGAGATTTAGTAGAGCCCAGGGACTTAAGAAATGTATGCATTAATTCAAGGAAATCTGACTGTAGACATCTCAAGGGAAACTTTCCATGTACTTAGCCTTGCATATCACAGTAAAATATGGATTGGTAAACAATAATTCAATTCTCTTTTTCAGTCAAACCACAGCTAAGATAACCTAGCAAAAAAGTCGTTCTGCTTCCCATCATTCAAAATGTAGATTTTAAAGAAAAAAAGAGACACATGAGTATTCACAAAATCAGCTTTGTAGTTCTTGGAAAATTGAGGAGATTCACTTCTGTCAGTCTCAGATACCATTTTTTGAAGTATTAAAAAAAATAAAAATAAAAAATAAAAAGTCTGTTTTATAATGAAATAGCTTTGATCAACAATGACTTTCAGAACAAGCTTGGGGCATATATATGCAGGAAGGCCAATGAAACAATCTGCAAAAAACAGCAGGCTTCCAAGAATGGTTTCTGTGGTTTCTCTTCAAATCAAAGACAACTATGCCAAGACTGAATCCAAGCACCAAACTGCTCCTCAGTTAAAGGCTGACAAATGCAAATCATGAAAAATACTTAATCACATTGAAATACAAAGCTACTGGGAAAAATAAAGTATACCTTCCAGTGTTGTCCATAAACCAATATATGTTTCTTGGCAATATCCAGTCGGTTCCAGGCTAATGCCAAATCTAGCTGATCTGAAGCAGACATATTTGTACCTAGGAAGCAAGCAAAGCATCTAACAGCTCTCATACATTAATGTTATTCCCTTGCTTTGAATGAGTTAGACCAGACTGATATATAGCAGATGAAAACAGGTTGCATTCTCAAGTACATACCTTTCAGGAGTGCAGTCAGTATTGCCAAATCAATGTCCTGCTGGTCCTCAGACTCTGCATCAAATATGGTTATCTGTCAGAATTATAAAAGTGCTTTATTTGAGATGAGATGAAAATCTTGTGGGTACTTCTTCTTGGTGGGGGTTGTGGTAGATTAAATCACACAGATCTCAGCACAAACATTGGCAAATCTTCTACACCTGAATGTACTTACTCTATTTCAATAAGAAATATTATTTTCCTTTTTTAATGAAGTGGTATTCCAGACAAATTAACATCAACCTACTGCAGAATAACATGAGCTGATTTCCTTCAGACTTCAAGTAAATAGCTTCTGTGGAACTACCTTACTAAACAAAGGATACACAGATCAGTTTCTGGTGCTTCATAAAAAGAGAAGATGATTTCATGTCATCTTTTCAGGAGTTTTTAACAAACACACTGAACATCCCCCTGAGTACACCATGTTTACTGACACCAGTAGAAATGTACAGAGGAGAACAGACACCCTCCTGCTATCTTTATGTTTGAAAGAACACTATTATTTGCAACTGCTAAGCTCAAAACAGCCCATCACAGGAAGAGCAAAAAGGGCAACTGCGAATGAAAATGTCATAAAATCAGCATATCAGTCCTACTCACAGATTCCCTGTGCTCCATACACTCCATCAAAATGTGACACAAGTGGCTGGACTGTTTCTGTCCCAAATTAAAGGTGTTTTGGATCATTGCTAAAACCTCCTCCTTCACTTGAGGGCGCAGCTCCCTGAAGAACAGATATAAAAGCAAAAATAAGTAAATTTCTGACTACTTCAACCCACCCAAAATAAAGCCGCAGCACTAAAAGAAACTTGTGCTAAGCAGAAACACCTGAGAAAACTCTTTTACTTTCACTTCTCTGTTGTCTTTTCCTCCCATCTTTCAACAAAGCAGAACAAAGGCATCACATAATATAAATTATTCTTTACACAGACTTCTGCCCACACACATAAACCATTAGTACCAGAAGAAATGAAAAGTTAATTTTCAAATGATTGATTATTAAAAGGCAGCTGAAAAACCATTTAAAGTTTTATAACATTTTTCTATCTTGCAATATCCCAGCATCTGCAGCTGAGCTAAGGCTCTGGGGAGCAGAGGTTGTGCTGGAGGTCGCAGAAGGAACTGCAGCTAGATGGGATGACAGATATGGAGAATATTGGGATATAGGGACAGTATACTGGGACCTAAACCAAGGCTAGGGAACTTTGGTCCCCCTTCTATCCAAGACTGAGGCACTCAGAGCCAAAAACCCCATCTCTAGGTCTCAAAAGGTTTGTGTAACCCAAACTCAAGGCCACTTTTACAATCCCGATGAGAAGGATGAAGGGATGATGTCAAAAGCAAAGCAGGTACCAGGCATCCCCCAACACAATCCCTAGCCAGAAGCTAGAAACATTGAAATAAGTCAGAAAAGATAGATGCAGTTTCAAAGTTTTCTCTTCAGAAAAGCCCTAGTAATTTTGGCAGAATAGGGTTTTGTTGTTGTTGTATTTTTAACACCGGCCTGTGATATGGAAGGAAGAAGCACTATTCTTGCTTCAGAGAAGTAAAATCCAGCAGAAGCCCACAGCATGGTCGTTATTAGAGGCAGTGCTCTCATATGTTTGCTTTCGAGACAGGTACTCTCAGGTCCCTCTCAATATTGCAAACCAAGCAGGAGGTTCGTTATGCTACTACTCACCCCATATCACCTGTGTGTTTGTGGGTAAAAGCCAGGATATCTGCAGCTCTGCCAGTGCCCTCACAGACCACCACGGGGACAGCTGGGCTGGCCCTCACGTACTCCCACACCATTAGGATCACATTGGGGCCTCCTTCCACCACCAACCCAACTACGGGTACACCTTGGCCCATTCCTGTTTGAAAACACATCTAACTAGTTACAAACAGGTCTCAGTCACAAAGACAAAACAAAAATAAAACATCAGAATGTCTCATCAGTGAATACTCTTGAGAAATTTCATAGTAATTACGTGGTTCAATGAAGAGGAAATTATGCCTTCACTATCTAGAGAACTTGACTTCCATTGGCTTTCACAGTCTACAACCAGGGCAAAAAGGTTACAAAAACCTCTTAATGCAGTAGTAAACGATCCCTTTCCAGTAAACTGAAAAGAAGAAAGAGTATGCTATGCAAAATACCCTTCTGCACTTTGCAATATCTCTCACATGTACAAGAGGTTATACCCATAGAAGAGCAAGCATGCACTTTTTGTTTTCAACAGACTTTTAGATGTTTTGTCAAATAGGTAGATAGAGCACAGAAACAGAGAAGATACAAGAGAAAACAGAAAAAAAGATACAATAGAAATAAAAAATAGGAAATACAAGTTAAGAAAAGAAAAAAAATAGAGTCTGTATCAGAAGGTGTACTCAAGAACATATTAAAAAGATTTGGGGTAATTTTTTATGTTTGTATCATTAACTTATAAAGCAATCATTCGTTATTTTAATTCTGTGAGTATCTTTTTAACACATCTTGTAATTTTAATCTCTAGAAAAGAGGCAACCTCCAGAAATTTATAAATGATTTACTGCACAAAAGGAGACATTGTCTAGATGATATTTTTCTTTATGATTTCTACACTACAGGCAAAAAATGGAAACAGAAGCTACAAAATCTAGCTAACAGAAAGAGTAAACTAAAACTTTCCATTTGTAATCAATCTGTGTTTCTGTTCCTGAGAAGGTCTGAGGTATGCTGTACAAGATACAATGGCAATAAAAGTACCATAAATGGACAGAGAAGGATTCAAGTGCTACTGAGTCTGGCAGTCTCACTAACTAGCCAAAATATTGGGAAACATTCTCATGCTGATACAAAAAACATGCAAATCTGTGGAAAGTAGGGACAGCTCAGCACTTTCAGATTTATCTAACTTTTTTTTTCTGAAACTGAAAAAAAAAAAATCTGAGTTACCCTAATTGCCTTTTTTTTTTTTTCCTGAATGCTGTCCTTTTCATTTCTCCTGATCAAGTTCAGGATGCTTGAACTGAGTGACTTTCAATCAGTGAAATTCATAGCAATTGCAGGCACACAGCATCTAAAGGGAAACACAAAGTATCTCCATGACTTTTAGGATAGGATTTTCAAATTGAGACTAAGGCAGTACTCACTCGTGTGTATTTTCTGAAGAGATATGTACTTTTCCAAATTCCTCCTCAGCAGCATTTCATTTCCATACTTGCCTACTGTCCCATCATCTGCCATCAGGAAATGAGAATGCATGCTGTTGAGTGTACTCAGCTTGCTGAGTGGATTACCAAGAGTCTGGTAGAGGCAAACTACCTGAGAAAATAAAAAGAAAAAGAAAATATAAATAAATAAATCAAACCTTCAAATAAACCAGAAAAGTATCCCTTCATGTGTTGCCTCACTTGTATATATATTCCTTTGTCATCCTGTGTGAATTCTCCATTAATCTTCTTCCTGTTCTAATCAAGTAGACTTTTAATTTGATTCTTAAGAGCAACAAAAACAAAATTAGTACTATAGAAAGCATTTATGATTGGGCTTATAGTCCATAATGAGGACTGTATTTTTTGTAATAGTTGAAACATAGTGGCATATTTTTCTCTGTTTTATTTCCACTAGAAAATATAAGCTGTCATTTACATGGAATGATTTTGTCTTTACTTGTCAAGTATTTTTCAACTGTTATGTAGATTGAACTCTCATACTGGCACTTAGATAAAATTCCAGTTTATGAATAAAAATTATGCATTTTAATAGACTACTTCTGTACACCATTAACCTGGTTGCTTATCCTGAATTACATGAATGTAGAAATACATCATTTGCATGCAAAAGATGATTGCCTAGTTAATTACAAGATTTCTAAAATGAACAGCAATTTCCTATAAGAGAAAAATTTAAAACTACTACTTATGAAAAGCAAAATACAGTGCTTCAGTGTGCAACAGAATTCAGTTGCCAAGCAAAATAAGAGATTTCTTTTACAGACAACCAAACCAGTGAAAAGAAGCAAGCAGAAAATGATGTAGATAAGAAAGTTAAAACCTGCACATGAAGATTTTTATTAGCAAAATGTGTCCAACTCACATCTTTTCCAATGAGGTCCCTCCGGTTCTCAATGATGCCCCAAGAAGGGATCCCAACAGCGCAGATCTTCCGTAGATATGGGGAGGCATGGCCTTTCAGTGCATCCCCAACATGCCTAGACACTCCTAAGCACAAGAGTAATCATCATTTCTGTGCTACATTTGGGTTCCTGGTACAGGACACCAGTGAAAGCGCTCTCCACTGTTTACTTTGTTCTACGGTTATGCTTTGAACAGAGACAAAACTATCCTTCTCATTTGTACATTTGACATGCGCAGTATGAATAGCAAGGTTCAGACATGGTGCACCGAAGTCAGCACATATTTGTAATTAACATTACTCATACATGCTGCTAATTGATCTGTCTGCCTGCATAAATACCTTTTCATTTGTATAAACATTCTCAGAAGATTGAAACTAATGACTTTGCTAACATCTATATAAATACATAAATACATTGTTAGCTTTTACATTTATTACTTCACTGCACATTAAAGTTAGTATACTACACTTTGAAACTCTGTTCACATAAGTCACATGAGGTTTTTCAAATAAGGGGGTTTTTTCATGAGCTTCATGTCCTCTGCTGATAGTTCATACTGCTTCCACGATGACATAAACCACACACCCTAGGTCATCTGTCAGGTATAAATTCAAACCTTCTCTGGTTACAAGATAGTCTCCTTTAAGGCCAAATGACTAAATAGGAGCTGAAGAAATAAGATTTTTTTCACTTCCTTCAATTACTGACCATTTCCTCAGCTTTTGTGTGTAGTTTAGGGAATTTCAGTTATTAACAGGTCGGTTATTATAGGAGTACCATAATTTGAAACAATCTTAATTATAAAATATGTGTTAAATATAGATCTGAAAGTGTTTTAAAGATGCTGATCACAGCCCTCAGAATTTTAATATTTTAAGGGAGTAGACAAAATCCAGTGGCATTTAAAGAAGTGGTATAACAGTGTAAGTTCTGGTTATTTAGTATTAGTTGGCACTGTGCTTCTTATTACAGGCAGAATACACCTTCCTCTCTAACAAAAAAAAAAAATCAGAAAGTCAGTTGACAGCAAAGCAGTTTTTGAATTATGCATGATTCCTGATAAAAAAAAATCCCTTATTCTGTGCTAGAATATCCTAAATTATCATACAAAAAATTACGTTGTATTTGCCCTAATTGTAAATGCTCACATGTGATGAAGAATGAAACAAAGAAAAGCTACAATACCGCTATTGATGCCTTCTGTAATTATCCATGCTCCTGTAGTCTCAGCAGCCTTGACCAATCCTTTGCTGAAAACCTGTTTGACCTTTGAGGTAAGCTTGAAATTTTGAATGCCTCCATGAACAGATATCACTAGCTTTGGCAACTCCATCTGCCATTCTTTAACCATCAGATGCAACAGCTGGTCCAAATTACTGTCATAAGAGAGTCTAATATACTGCAAGAAATAATCATGGATAAATTAAATATCCTTTAAATGCTCAAATTAAAGAAAACAAAATACCTGAGAATGTTCTCAGCTCTAACATCTTACAGATTTTGTGAAACAAAGAAAGACACTGATGAGATAATTTAAAATGTACCAATGAGCAATACAGAGTACAAGTCAAGTCGGTCTTAATCTCAATGAGGCTCAAATTTAAAAATGTATACACACTCTAATTTGAGTTACTAGCCCAATACCCCGTTATTTCAGGACTAATAATCCAATATTCACACAACTCCACTTCCTGCCTTTGTTACACTGAAATTACAAAAAAAAAAAAATAAATAAATAAAAAGAAGAAGAAGAAGTGCACACTAATCCAGGATCTACTTAACAAATCAAGTTACACACAAACCTTGGCGTGGTAAGTGTGATCTCCATCTTGAAAGTTGATTGTCCCAAATGCATCAGTAGGACTCATCTTTGTGTGCTTTTGCACTGACCATTCTTCATCACCTTTCTGCAGGGTGGCCTGATAGATGGGCCAGCTACAGTCTATTTCTGGGTGATCTCCAATCAGCCGCCCGCAGCAACACCTCACATTAAAAATAAAGAAATGATTTTATATCATATTTCTATCACACTTGCACACAGCTGTAGGATGTCAATCTGAATAGCACAGATAGTTTTCCTAGCCAGATGTATTTGCTAGCTTTCTGACACTAAATATAACAAAAATGAACTCAGATAAAAATAATAATAATAATAATGGCAAAATGATACTGAAAAAAATATAAATATGTATTGATGGGTACATGATTTTGACAGATGCTTGGGGAACATTAATGACAAACCCATGAAGCAATTCTGATCTGAGCAGTGCAGTTCAGATTTACTGGGGTCATATGTGAGGAATATTTTGGGCCATCAAGACTATTTAATACCACACATTATTCTAGCTACTGAAGAAGATCTTGGAGTTACCATCCACCAGGAGGAGCAAAGTTACCTGAAGTCTTAGAGTGAAATCAAGGGTCACCTTTATAATAACAACAGCAAAGCGAATATACAAAATAAAATGATTGAATTGTGGTGGTAATGGAAATTTAGCAGAAGCCCAGTTAGCATTAAAAGCTTGAAACTAGATGAATAGCCTGGGCTCCAAATTCAATCAGAATTACTGTTATACAGGCTCTGACAGGCTTTGGCCTGTTTTACAAGATTAACTTTGATGTAATTTATGTAATTTATAATAACATCTGACATTTCAGTTTCCCTTTAGACATTTCTGGTGTTGAAATACTGTTGGGAAATTTAGAGAAATCCTTCCCTTCTACTTCATGAGATGCCAAGTAGCCTCCGACATCCCAAACTTAATGAATTCCTTGGGACTCTGAAACCTTACTTATGGATCTAGGAGCAGGTTAGATGTAGATTTGACCTGCAAAATCCTAAAGAGGTAATGTGCAGAAAGACAGAATATTTCCTAAGGATATGAGAGCACATTAAATGGTAAGATATAAAATATAACATATATATTTTTACAAAAAGCTCCAAGCAAATTAAAGAGGCATACTGTTTTAAAAAGGCACTTTGAGACACCAGAACCTATATAAGTTACGTATGTACTTTAGTTTTTCAGCACAGGTAAAAAATATTTGATCTATTCAATGTTCTACAAAAGCAGACCAGAGAAGGGAGGCATCCCACAATTTTGAGGAATTAATAACTCATTCAAGCAATGGTTAGTGGAGGTTTAAGGAATCACCAAAGACTAACAATGCAGAAAGTTGCAGTATCATCACAAGCCTCAGTTACGTTGAGCAGGTGGTACAGGACTGCAGACAAACCTAACACAGATACCACAGGGGAAACACATACCCACTTTTAGACCTAAGACTACTAATTCATACACGTGTATGAATTCAAAAGGCTTGCTATTCCCAAACAGCTCTTGCTCTCCTTCCAGTTGGCAGGCTCTCTTTAGATGTCTAGCAAGGTGCAAAAGAACAAGGTGCAAAAAACTCCTTAGCTATCTCAAAAGTCAAAAGTTGAGACCAGGAGGCTTTCAGGAAGAGTAGGAAACCAACCAAAACATTACATAAAGATAACTTGCAAAAACAACAGAGATGCACTAGGAAACAGAGGTCTGCCACTACGTTGCTGAATAAGCACAAGTGAGATGAGCCTTGGAGACGTTGCACAGCAGCCTGCAATGATTTTGGGAGCACTGTGTTGAAGTGGGGGCAGGTTAGTTCACATAAGCATGAGCAAACAACTGTGCCAATACATACTCAGATTTGATTAGCAAGTACTTATGGAGATATTCTGATTAGTATTTGCAAATAGTTGCATAACACATTCATGAACCGATTACAAATCTTTAAAGTTCTCTTTAAATATTATCTCCAAGAGAATCCATTTGTAAAATAAAACCAAACAGAACACTTAATTTGCCTAAGATATTATGTAGTGTATATAATAGGGTATTTTAATAGTATATATTATATATATTATTATAGCATATATACAGTATATTCACATCAATTTTTTATTGTTGTCAAAAAATTACAAATCTCTGGGAGCCTAGAACAAGATTAATTTCTGATCTGGCTAAAATAACATATAATGACCACATCTAAACAAAACTAACAGAAAGAGACAAAAAAAAAAAACCCTTTTGACCACATCTTGATTTAGCTGGAGTATTAAATATGCTCTTAGGGTTTGTGAGGTTTCCTTTTGGAGCCAAGCTCTCCTTGGAAGCAGCTGCCTGCAGTGAGACCTCTCTCCCTGTGTCGGGATGCTGATGGAGGAAACTTCTCCATGTTGAAAACCCTCTCTCTTCTGGACGAGTAATTTTGCACAAATATGCTTTTGTGCTTAGCCTTTTGGTCCTGGATTTAGCTTTGGGTTCTTCACAGGGTAGTGGTTTATTCTTATATTGACATCCAAACTTGTTAAATAACTTGCCTATCTGTTTTAATAATGTGTATTCTAAATCATTTCCCAGAGTGTAGCCTATGCAGGCAAATCCCTTAGAAATAAACTGTCTGCAAAGTCCAAGACTAAGTCTGGATCCAGCTGCACCCAGGTTCCCCTCCAGATGAGTTTAGAAAGCAAAGGTGTCCTTTCTGAACCCCATGGCTCAAAGAGAAGGTCTCCTTTGGAAAATAACCTTCTAGTTATGATTCCTTTAGTCATAGACTGCTGACCAGGTCTGGGTTTACAGTGGATCTGACCTGAACCCCATGACCCAACAGGACAGCAACCTGACCACACACTCCCTTGATTCGATCAGCAGAGGTGGTACTGGTAACACTCATGTGGAAACGCTCTTCTCTTGCTGTTTTGAAAGAAAAGCTCTGCTAGAAAAAAGCATATTAAAATATACAAGTAAAAAAGTTAGGAACCTTACAGGAAAATATACCTAGAAGACAACAGTTTACTGAAAAAAAACACCAGATACCCAAAAACATCCTGCATGTATAGACAGATGAACAAGCAGGATTCATAGGAATTTAAACAGGAGGAAAAGGCATCCCTAAAAGTTAACAACAGTAAGAGGGGAAGAAACCTATGAGATCTAAAGAAAGGTAAAAAAGAACAGTAATCTATTAAGAAAACACTGTGATACGCACACTCCTACTTCCTCTCCTTCTTCCTCCCTATCCTTCCACTTTCCCAGTGTAGCATTAGCATTCATAAAACTATACAGTGTTTCATTAGAAGGCTTATCTGGTTCAAAACTAATCTTTACTTTATTTTTTTTCCAAGTTCATGTCCATATCTATGAGTTTCCTGAACCAACTAACATCATGATCACAATAGGCGAGGGAAGAGTAGAGGGAAGACAGAACTACAGTAGTCTGAGTTTAGACAGACTTAAACAGTGTGAAAAACAAACCTTAAGCACTCCCTTGCAGAACTTATCTGAACGTATCTACAAATTACTCAGAAAGCAGTAAAATTCTCCCTGTCTTGCCACCTTCAGAATACCTGCAAAATATTTGGATCTTTTCTTCTGCTCTGGTGCTAAACACGTGTAGTCAATCTTTTGAGAGAAATCAGATGAAGGGAATAGACCCTTTACCTGGGTCTATAGAGTTAATAGGGTATATGTTACAGATTATACAATTTACTTTCATGGCCATTACCATTTACATCGATTTGATTTACAGAAGTCTTTTACTTGCTTTTTAGAAAATATGACTCTGGTTTCATGTAAACCTTTGGAGCAAAACAAATGGTGAAATGTATCATCAAAATAGAAATAGTCATGCTGGTGCAGACGACAGAAACAGTTTGCATCACCTTTTTAGTTATTAGTAATTGGGAAACCCCAGTTTTCTATTGCTTCAGCTTTCAGAGGAAAGACCTTACTGCAAAATAACTATCAAGGAAAATTAAGATTTGATTTAAAAACTGCTAATTTGTTATCATAAATGTACAATACTCAAAGCTGCTTGGGGACACCAGCCACAACAACAGCAGCTCCTATAGCATTCCAAAAGCAGGAATTCCAAACACCCAGGAGAGTGAAGATGAGAAAAATCTTTAGAAAAATATTATTGTCAAGGATGTGTCTATTGTCTTATTTCTTCTCCCTTCGTTTTGTTCTTCCCATTCCCCTAATTGACTTAGAACCTAGCTAGAATTGCTACCCATTTAGAGACACATATCTGCCTTCTATTCCTCAAGAGTTGGTTAAGACAAAGACAACTGCACAAGTTCTTTGAATAAAATTTTCTGTTTTGATAGAATAGAAGGTTGATGTATAAGTTATTGCACCATGATTTATAGTAGAGCTTTCCCCAGCAGGCCCCCAGAAAGGCTCTTATGACATTCCAAAGGAAGGATATTTCTGCTGCTTTTGCTTCTTAGACACAGAAGGTATGTCTTCACTTTAGCTCATTTAAAAAATCTTATTCATTAATAAAGCCTTACCTGATTAAATTCTGGCATACTTGGCATCCTGCAGAACATCTGTCACAACAGACGAATAATTACTACATGTATATATAAAAGAAAGCACCTATAACGATATTCTTAAAATATCAGTTCACCTGAGAAAAAAAGATCTAATCAACAAAATTTAAGGTTGTGTATTTCTACATTCAACTTAGATCTATGGAATAACTTCAGTGACTAGTTTGGAATTTCAAACATCAGGCTGTCTGTCCAGGCTACATTTCACAGACGAGCAATGATTTACATTGTAGATGTGTTCAAAACATTATGATCAAATTTACAAGTTTATACATCCTTCAGTTGTATTCTCGGATAGTTTTTTTAAGCAATGCATCTGATTATTTATGCAATCTGGAGAGCAGATTTTCCCATTCTTTGCCAGCCTGAGCAGAAAACTACTACTCTGAGTAGCATGAGAGCCAGCAGACATTGTTTTCTACTTAAAGCAGGTTCTGCTTTATCCTTGGAGGAAGGGAGTAGTAGTAAAACAGGAATAAGGATTCCACTACAGTACTTATTTGCCTATAAGCCCATCGTTTATCTCTCTCCCCGCTGTATACTGTTCTACAGTTTGGTTATTGGACTGAGAGTAACACATCCGAGAGC